AAATAGATCTTTAACTCAGGGCCATTTCATACGTGAAACATTTTCTTAAGAGCCATTTCCTGATCACCTATAATAGTGTTGGCGAACCTTTTCGGCACCGAGTGTTGAAACGGGAGTGTGCACACGTGCTCAGGGGAGTGCCAGAAACTGGAAGAGCAGTTCCCTGGCACACATGTGTGTGCTGGGAAGCTGAGCTTCCGGTTTCCAGCATGTGCATGCGTACCGGTCACCTGTTCTTCCAGTTTCTGGTGCATATGCATGTGCAAAGACCACCTAGCCAGCGCACATGTGTGTGTCAGAACCCAGAGGATCAATGGGCAACAGCTGGCATGCCCATTGAGATGGCTTTGTGTGCCACTTCTGGCACGCGTGCCATAGGGTCGCCATCCCAGACCTATAACTTTCAGATCAAGAAAAACATTAAAAATGTTTGAATTAATGTTATGAAAGTTTATAGGAGATGTTCAAGGTCCGCTGGATAATTGGAAAAATTCCATAAATAAAAAGCCATTATAAAAAAAAATCCTGATATTTACAATTCAAGATACCTTTTGAAGGTACTATGCAGCAGTATCAATGTGAGTATGCTGCATGAATATTAAAGTCCAACATGGCATGGTTCCAGCTTACCTGAGGAACCATCTCACCCCAAAGGGAAGGACCCACTCCACTCACCCCAGCATAAGAGCATGCTCAGGATCCTATTGGTCAAGGAATTGTAGCTGGTGGGATCCAGGAGAAGATTTTTTTTCTTCCATTTGCCCTTTGGAATATCATGCCCATCAAAGTGAGATCCACACCCACCTTTTTGGCCTTCCAAAAGAGTTGTTTTGCCAACTGCCTTGGTTCCCTGATGGGGGAACCCCATTTTGAAGGTGGCTAGTAGACTAGGAGACGCCACACCATCTACACATTGTTTTTTTAAAATCCATTTTAATATTAATTTAAAATTTTTATTTTTAATTTCTGATGTTTTAGTTTTTTACTCCTTTTATTGTTTTATTCTGTTATTTATGGAATTGAAAGGTGCCCAGAGTTATTTGGTGGAAAGAGATGAGTGGAATACTTACTTACTTACTTACTTACTTACTTACTTACTTACTTACTTACTTACTTACTTACTTACCAAACAAACAAACAAACAAACAAACATCTGTACTCATTTCAAGCCTGCTATGGATCAGGATATGATTTAGTCTCCGGAGCTGTGGTGGTTAGAATGCAGTACTGCAGGCTAATTCTGCTGCCTGCTGGCTGCCAGCAGTTCAACAGTTCGAATCTCACTGATTCAAGGTTGACTCAGCCCTCCATCCTTTAGAGGATGGTAAAATGAGGATCCTGATTGTTGGGGGCAATAAGCTGAGGGATGTAAAGCACTGTGAAGTGGTATATAAGTGCTATTGCTATTTTGCTGATTGTGAATTGGATGTGGGTAAGGTGGCCTGATCAAATATTCTGTGGAAGTTGGCAAGTTTGGAACAAACAGCTCAGACTTGACTGGACTTGTTAGTAACTAACTACTAATACTAGTAAGTACTAAGTACTTAGTAAGTTGTAAGTAAGAACCAAGTGAAGCCAATCAACTAGAATGAGAGCTAGCATGAGAAGCTGAATGCAAGCAGTTCTTCTAGAAAAGTGAGTAAACTTTGAGCCATGCTTGTGCACACAGGCATGCATGTGCATACACATACATACTCACTACTGGATTCTTAGCCTATTAGAAGTTGCTATTGTAATTAGCTTGTCTGTAGCTACAAGTATCCTATCATTTCTTTATGAACCCTTAAATGCCAAGAAAATGGCAAATTCCAGGAAAGGAATACTGTGGAAGGAAATTCCAGACATCTACTGTATATCTACTATTACACTGTTCACAGTGACCATAACTTTGAGGTTGTATCCAGAAAAACGCACTGCAGAATTATTGTTCACTTTCCAGGGCCTTGTCCTACGATGTCCTGCAGGATTCCCTGTTATCTTCTATGTTGTTTAATATCTTCATGAAAGTGCTGTTGAATCTTCAGTATGCAAATGACATCCATATCTACTGCTTCTGGTCATACAGAATGAAAACAGCAATTAATCTCTTGATTGATGCTTAAGATCAATGACGTGCCAAGCAAGATGTAGGTATTACCAATCAGTAGAAAATCCTGCTTGGAAATTAACACGTGGACTAGTACCAGAGGGAGATCACACTCCATATAAATGTAGCCTTCCGATCCTCTGTCTGAATTTAGAGGTAGTGGCAGGGAATTTGCATACAATGTTTGGTGCACTAATTGCAAATTATTCTGGGATTGTGAAATCTGACTTTGGTCAGCTATGTTTTGACTCCATCATGAATAGATTACATTAAACAGTGGACAGTTGAAGAGTATTTAGATGCATTGTTTGGTGGAAATATAACAGGCAGTGCTGTTAACCAGTACACCGTTTTCGTATATATATTTGGTTTAGGAAATCTGCAATGGATCCCAAATATTTTACGTGTGCAATTAAAATATTAGTTGTAACTTTTAAACTTTGAATAGCTTAAGTTCTAATTAAGCTATAAATGGCTTAAGTACCCCTGCCTTAATATGGATTAATCTGTCTGCCAGAAGATCCTCCTAAAAATGATTTTAATTTCAGCAGCCCAGTAATATCAAACATGGGAGAGAATCTTCTTCTGTTTCACACCAAAGTTAGAAAGCACATTCTCTTAGGAGTTCTACTTAGCTCCCATCACTAGTTTTGCCATCTAAATTAATAGCATGTTCTCAGGATGCCATGCCAGCTTCTGCAAGCCTACTTGAGCCAATCATCACTCTCTTCAGTATTACCTCCAGCCAGCCAATGGATGAATGTTCAAATAATTCTTTGTGTTCACAATGGCAGTGTGTATATCAAGGAAGCCAGCTGTTATCTGCAGGGAGCAGCAAAACCAACCCTTAGTTTAGTAGGAAAGAACTTGGGAACAAGCCAACATGTTGTGATGCCTTGTCTCCAGTGGTGGGATTCAGCCAGTTCGCACCACTTTGAGAGAACCAGTTGTTAACTTTCTGAGCAGTTTGGCAAACTGGTTGTTGGAAGAAATCATTACGACAGAGAACCAGTTGTTAAATTACTTGAATCCCGCCACTGCTTGTCTCCTACAGAGCAGGTAAGACTCAAAGAGATAGGATAAGATTTCCTATCAAAAGGAAATCATTCCACCCTAAAGCTCCAGAGCAAGACTTGTGAAACATTTACTACATTGTTTGCTCCTAATTACTAAGCTGATTAACTTGCAGAATAAATCTGTTTGGCTTTCTTACGTGATATTTTGGAGACATTTAAGGGCAGTGCCAGACTCAAATTGGTGATCTTTTGTGTGTGAAAATGGTCTAGATCTAACTTTTCAATCAGGTTTGTTGTGATTTTATGTCTTCATCATGTAGGCTTAAGTTGAATTTTTGAAGTGTTATATTATTTTGCATTTTTATGCTAGTTACCTTGAGTGCCATGGAGATTATTATACATTTGGGCAAATGGAATGTTATGGAGTGGTATGGAATGTCTGGTGTCATATAGATTGTTTTATTTTTTTATATATCAGAAAGCACCAAAGACTTCACAGTTCAGCCCTGAATCACATATGTTTTCTTACATTGCTTCCCTGAATAAACAAATGCTATCACAAAGGGCACATACTGGAATAATAATGTCCAAATTATATTACTGTAACACGCTGTGTGTGGAAAACTGCCCTTGAAAATATTAGGGAGCCTGACCTGATGAAGAAATGGAACAGCTAGATTGATGTCAAGAAACTATTGGATAATTTTTTAAAAAAATCTGTGTAAGAGTGTCAATAAATATCTGATGCAGCTGGTAGTTCAGTGATAATGTTCAAAGACCAAATGGTTGAGATTTCCAATATATGCCAACATTCAAATCTGCTGTGTGCTTTCAGCTTTGCAGTCGACTATTGGTTCAAAGGCAAGAAGAGAGGGAACTGCAGGGTGCTATTGCTAAGGTCATTTGGCTGCCAAGTGAAGTTTCAGCTATTCATTCAGTATTTGTGGACAGCAACTCATTCTGCATTCTGTGTCTTTTACATTGATTGTATCACATCTTAAGATCCAGGTCAGTTTGTAAATAAATAATGAATATATGAGTAATCATAAGCAACTCCTTTTTACCTTGCAATGGAGAAAAAAGAACATGCTGGAGAAGGAAGCCATCATTCCCCATCTTCTTTAATCCAAGCCGTCCTTTGATCTTGGAATTTCAAGACCATTCTTTGAGTTGATTGCAGACTATGCGGCCTTGAAGAAAGGCAAGCACATCCTAACTCTAAGGCTAAATGTGCTAGAGAAAAGGTCCCTATTCAAGTTCAAATCCCCACTGTAGTTTGATAAAGCTACAGATGTACCCTTGTTTTAAAACTACTGCAAATTCTACATGGCCACTGTACAGTAAATGATGAATGGGTTGCGTTTGGCTCAATGAGGCACAAACATTGTACAAGCCACCCATATCTATCTATATCATCTATAACTATACCAATATCTATGTATGTGTGTGTAATATCTATGTTTTCAACATCAGATAAAATGAAAATATTTTTGATCTGGGTAGCAGAGCATAAAGAGCAGACACGGTAATGTTGAGGATCAGTTTAACAGGAAAGGAAAAGATAGCCTATCTCCCATGCGCAAAGATAAAATTAGAAAATGTGGATATAGCTCTTCAAAATACAACTTGGCACTGAGTGGACCCTATAATGATCTATAAATCATTCCATGAGATACCTCATTCCGTAGACAAGCCAAGATTTATAGGCAAATTTTATCAGAAGAAGTGTATCAATGAAGGGATTGATCTCTTTAAAATTGTGTTTCTGAGATATTATTCTTCCTTGTTTATTGAATGCATTTTGACTGAAAGTAAAATAAATAAGAAAAATAAAGATTCAGATCTCCCTCTGCTATCATTACCACACTGCAGAGAAGTCAGAAGAAGCAGACTTCCTGTTAGGTACAGAGCTTTCCATTTATTGGGATGTAATATGGAACTATGGTGACATGAGGCCATGCATGACATTTTACAAAGCAAAAGGCACTATTAACAGGCTGCAAATAATTTCACAACAAATATATGAGGAGGAATAGAATAGAATCATATATAGACACACATAAGGCTCTAACATTGGTTCATTCTAGAATTTGCTCTTAAAGCCTATCGGAAAACTACATTTAGCGGATGGAAAGCTTCCTAACACGGTGAAAGATGATTAACTGAAATACAATAATGAAACTATGCCCTAAAGATCTGAGGGCAAGAAACTAAGTCTCAAAAAAGTAGAAGAAAATATCTTGAAGAAACAAACATGCAGCTGAGTATTGGAGAAAACTGTAGGAAAGGGAAGACTTGCAATTTAATGGTGTGCTGCTCTCAAGACTTCACAACAAAGGGTCCAATGGGATGATTGAGTGCATTTAACGGTAAGGCCACAGAATCACAGTTAAGGACGACTGTAAGCATTCGGCTGTATAGCTTTTCCTCTTGGCTTTTTTTAAAGTGGCTTTTTAAAAAGATACCTGAAGTGTTAATGCATTATAGTCCCCTTTTTTAAAAAGAGCATAACATATTGCTTAATACAACAGTTGAAACAGCAAAGAAGGATCATTCATAAAGAAATAGTGTTTGTAAAATGATATTCACAGGAGACTTTCAAACATTTGATGGATATGCAAAAGCAAACTAGCCATGGTTAATCTGAAAACAGGCTGGCAAAAGATTTTCTTAAGTTTCGGATGGTTTCAGCTTTTGCTTCATCCTCATTCACAGATGATCGGAAGAAGGATGACTCCGTGAAGTTGAAGGCATTTGTCAGAGATTGTGATTTGCTGCAAGACAGAGACAAAAACTCACACATGAATGTTACATACATCTGAAGCTTTCATACAGATTTTCTTTTCTTATTCGTGACTGATGTAGCCCCTACCTTTCAAAATTCAATTTGTATTACATATAATATGAATAGGATATACAACCGGCAACATCCAGATGACACTCTTTGAATAGATGAGCACAACTGTTGTTGAGAAACAATTGTCTGATACACATCAAAACTCGGAAGTGTCTCTATTCCTGGCAGTCAGACTTTTCTGTAATGTTGCCCACTGGAGATTAGACTTGCCCCAAACCATTGTCTTTCTGTAAGGCACTAAAACCTGGTTCTGTTACAGAGCCTGAGATAAGTGATCAAGCTTGTGTTGTAGTTGCGTTGATTGCGTTGTTTGGCTTCAACTTGGCTTTTGTAATGATTATTTATTGTTTTCTTATGAAGTTTTGCTATTGATGTTACTCCCTGTTAGCTGCCTAGACTCATGTGGTTAAAATGGACAGCCATATCAATTGAAATGATATTCATACGATTTATTTTTTAACCCTATAAATTTTAAGTATACTTTTTTAAAAGAAAGGAAAATTGTATTTGCTTGTGTTTTTATATTATGCTTTATGACAGATCAATTATTTTTCCCCCAGAAAACCTTACACCTTTTCCAGAAAATCTTACACCTTTTCCAGAAAAATCTTACACCTTTTCCAGGAAATCTTACACCTTTTCCAGAAAATCAGAGCGAGCAATATTGTAGGTGTGTACAGTCTTTCGTTTTCACTGTATTTGGGTTTAATAGTCATTGAGAAGGGAGGGGTGGAAAGATAAAGGTTCTTTACTTGATTAAGAACTGAAACATAAATGGTTTAATGAAATATTTATGCATAGGCTTGTAACCTGCATGCACATGTTAAACCAGAAGATGTGGGTGAGAATACAATCACTGAGTACAGTTAATCCCATTGGCAATTTGGAAGTGGGGGGATTTGAAATTGGAACAAATCTGTAACTTGAGATATGAGCCATCCGGGATGCTTTAAAACTATGTGCATAGAGCTTTCAAATATTAAGGAATAGCCCTTAAGAAGTCCCAAGCTTGAAAAATATTGTTTAGGACTGGAATAAGCAGTGAATTGGAAAAAAAAAGTTTAAATTTGAAAGGCAAAGGAAAGGCAAAATATCCCTCAAGCTGAGCTCAACTGCAGGTGACTACATACAGGTTTTCATGCTGTTTTGGAAGTGATTCATCATTAAATTCTTCCAAAATATGTTTTTCAACATTCTGCTCTGGTCCGTGGGCCTGAAAAAATTTTCTGGTCTCCTATCTAAGCAGTAACTAGATTCACCCTCACTAAGCTATTTTTGAGACCAGCCAAGGTTTGCTTCTTATACTTCTTAATAAGACTACCATAAAAGAAGGAAATAAAATATTAGGGCTGTTTGCATTGCACAAATGAATTGCCTTTGAAATTTAAGATATCTGAAACACCATGATGGAGAAGATGGATTTATTGAAACACACATAAACTTGTATTTATTGTAATCTTCCTGGTCAGTGTTATTTTTCAATAGACCTCCAAAACTGTGTGTGGTGAGGTGTGGTGTAGTCCACAAGGTCTTGAGGGGATAAGAGCACAAGAAATGTGCTCTTTTCACAAACCTCTAAAAGAACATATTTAGGCATCTACGCCATTTTGACTCCAGTTATTAACAGAGAGAGAAACATTAACCGTGAATATCTGTTGCATTAAAAACAAAAACTAGAAAAGGAAACCTACATCAGGGCAGAAAATATCCCTTGATATTTTCTGTGGTAGTTTATTTATTTACTATATTTATATACCATCTATACACAAACGTAAGGCCCATACATTATTTTCCCTCTTTCTAATTGCCCTGCGAGGTAGGTTGGGTTGAGCAACAATGACTGGCCTAAAGTCAGCTGGTGAACTGCTGTGGCTGAAGGCGGATTTGAATCCAAGTCTTCCCACTTCTAATCCAAAACCTTCACCACTATCCCCACATTGATCCATTTAGTTTGTTTTAAATTAAATGACTTTTAAATTCTTCTGGAAAAAGTATATAGTGGAAATAATAAAAATGAGTAGTGAACTGAACTTTTTTTTACATACATAACTAAATATAATACATTTAAGGCCATTTATTGATTTATCATATTTAACTGCCCTGTATTTTTTTTAAAATCTTTTTTTTTTTTGTGATTACCTTCCTTCACCTTCACAGCAAAAACGAATTATGTAAGCCTTAAGATTAAGTCTGTAAACTATCAGACAAAATTTTGGCAAGTAAAGTATTCTGGCATTTGTTACAGTCATGCATTTTGATAATGAAGGGAGTAGGAAATCTTTCTATCTCTAAATTGTTAAGCAATATACCTTGGGTATTTGAATATTTGAATTTGAATATGTGAAACAGAAATGAAATGTGATATATTAATCTTCAAAGCAGTTTCCAATAAACCAAGAGGATATATAAATAAATGGCCATCTTCAGACATACTTTAAGATGACAAAAATTAAAATCAAAGATACAGTTGGAGTATATTATATCTAATAAACCAAATATAGAGTATGAAAATGAGTTCCATTGCATAGAAGTGGCCCTAGAAGAAGTCTTAAGCATAGGATGTAATATATAGTTAATGACAAATGTTCTATCTATCTCTAGTTTTAATGCAAAACATCTTTTGACAAGGAAAACATTCTCTGGGTTTTCTGATCTTTCTTGTCTGAGTGGCTGCAAGGTTAAAAGTTTAAGCAGATAAGGTTCTCTCTTTCTCTCTCTTTCTTACCAGCTGCCTCATAAACAGCACAACCAAAGGCAAATCAACACCTTCTGAGATGTTGGAAAGAAGAAGGGGATGACTCAAATCTATACATACTACATGAAATATGCTTTTTTTTCAGCAGATTTGGAAATGTCTGTTGGAAATGTACCCACTCCAGGTGAAACAGAAACAGAACTGTTACAAAAAGAAAGGAATCTTGTACTTCTTTATCTGTACTCCAACCTCTTTTGGCAAATGAAGCATTACAAAACAAGAGGAGAAAATGACAAGAATGCCTTACTTTAGCTGAGGATGTGACTGAGGCTTCTGGGACGAGTCTGGCGGGGGCTCAGTCTTCATGTCTGCTGGAGGCCCAGCACTTGAAGGACCTGAGGCCTGGGCACGGGATGGCTGAATCGCAGGGCCAGGTGGACGTGGAGGCAGAGAACTGGAGGGCTTTCCTGAATGCCCCGGACGGAACCCTTGGGGTGGCTCCTGTCTTTGTGATTGCATTCCTTGGGGTTGCACTGGGCCCCCTAGGTTCAGCACAAGAAAAACTTCATAATGCATCAGTCATTTTGTAATAACTCTTACAACCAACACTTAATATCAGTCTGGTAGTAGAAAAGTTCGGTGGGGTTAGAATGCCTTAGCTATCATGATCATGAATTACAACTCTACATAAATATAAATTGCAAATCTTCGTATCCACACTAAAACAGCCTTTGAAAATTCACTGCTTTAGTAATTGGACCTGCTTTTTTTAAGGAAATCAACAACATATAAATAATCCTCCTTTAGCAACTACAATTGGTACCAGCAACTCAATCATCAAACAAAGCAATTTCTGAGTGAAACCACAACTGTGTTTATGAACTTATTTCAGTTTTTCTTTGTTTTATAAACCTGGAAAGGCCATAAATGCAAAGATTGGTTTCAAAGTTACTTTTGAATCACTCTTGTAACTGCAAATGGTCGTTAAACAAGAAATAGCTAAATGAGGATTACCTGTAATAATTATTTGGTTGGAGAGGAGCAGTTTAAGGCTCCTTAATAGTGCTGGATGTGACAGCAGAAATCTTTATGGCTGATAGCAAGTGCGGCTGGCAGGAAATTTACACACTCTTAAGCTAATGCCAGGCAGATGGAGTGAACTATCATTCCCATCACCCCTGGGGAACCTATCACGCTGAGAGGAATGATGGGACTTGAAGTCTAAAGCACCTGGAAAGTATCAGGTTGAATAAGGCTGGGCCAGATTAAGCTGCATTAATTATAGTATTTCTCCATTTCAGTTCTCAGGTTCCTGATAAGTAAAACATTTTCCCAGATTGCTCCATTACAGACAGAACACAATGGAAGTTAACAGCCAGAAGGAATCTGTTTGCTTTGAATATATCACAGCAGTTGTTTATTAATAATATTGATTCAAATTAGTTGCCTTTTTGTTTTGCCTTAAATGGGAGGGGAGGGTTGTTATGTTTTTAAAATGTCTCATATATTTGCAGTGGCTTTTCATTAAGCCCTTCTGTGAAAAACAAAACAGGCATCTACTTGAGCCAACCAGTAAGCAATTAACATACTCAGACCTTGCAACATCAACCCTAAAGCAGTTCCATATTTTGTAAGCAATAGCTAATCAAAACTGAGTTGTAGATTCAGCTGCAGTTGGTGCAGTTTTTTTCCAGTGCACCCCCCCCCCACCCTTTCTCCTTAGTGTATGGTTGTTCTGTTTCTATAAACAGTGAAGGCAATGGATTTCAGTACTGTCAAATATGCATCCGATTTAAGGCAATCAACTTGGATCAGACTTATGGAGCCTTAGTGGAGATTGAAGAGTCTTTGATGCCTGATTTTAAAATCTATCATTCCAACAAATGCTTCCTTTGGAGAACTTGCTTTCAGAATTGTACCAGAACACAATACTATACCAGCATAGCCATCACAGAGTTTTTTTAGCACAAATATATTGTAGCCCTAATCTCTTGAAATGGATTATATGAGTCCAAAGGGTTTAGAATTGTTTTTCTTGAAGACTTCCCCCAACACATAAAAAAAATCAAATCTGTGGTATCATCTGAAAAGATTCTCCCAGGCATTACACAAAGCTTCTTAGAGATCTCTAAATGGTCTCATCTCCATTTAGCTCAGAGGATAGAGAGAGGTCTGGGCATCCAGAGAGATGCAAGCCAAGAACTGACATCTTTAATGAAGTGATGGCTAGGCACATTCATGGAAAAAAATCCATGCATGCTGAAGAACGCACACAATACTCTGGATAGGAAAAGGTTATTATTTTTGCATATCACAGACATTAATATATATAACAGGTTTTCCCACTTTGTACAAAGTGGGCAAATGTCACACAATTTGTGAAATCAACTCTGCTGCTTTATCAGTCTGTTAGAATGATTTTGCATCATCACTCAAGGATGATACTTTCAAGATGAAAAATACATTCCCATAATACTCCTTCAGAACTCTACGCCTTTGTTAATACTAGGGAAACTGTACATGTGTACTTTTAATTAGGCCTAGGAATAATTTGGAGGCCTTGCAAATTCTTTCTCTTTATCATGCCAAACTGTCCAAAACCCCAAACATCTCTGAATAAAATTAGCTATTTAGCTAATTAAGAGAATCAATGAGGCAGGAATATGCAGATGAAGCAGAATTAATACCATACTTTCAACAATGACCATTTAAAAATACCAAGTACAGAAACTCAAATTTTAAAGTAAATTGCTGGTGAGAATTTGCATTTTCTCTTTCAAACCCTGAATGCATAAATTGACTTATTTCAGAGAAGTTCCAATGATATTTACAATCTTCATAATAACAAAATAGGTTTTTAGATAATTTTCCACATGTTAGAAATTTGGCAACAATTCATTCTTGGTGCATTTCTTAAAACACCACAGTTATATAATCTTGTTCATTATTTGCAATAGCAAAATGTGCAGAAGAAGAATTACATCTATTCCTGTCCCTAATTTACTTTCCCCCTCCCAATAGAAGTATGTGTGACCTGAGAACCTGCAAAAAGTTATATGCATAAATGTCTGTTCATAACCTTCACTGGATTTATGCAAGTCACAGGTAGATGCAGAAGTGATCCCAGCCCATCATGTTATTAGCTGCATGCCCCGTGAACAGGATCGATGTGTTTACAGTATCTAAAGATGGTCAGAAGCCTTGCGATTTAATTATAGCCGACTGAGAGATTCTGAATTTCAATTTCATTTTTTTACGCTAACAAGCCCATACTTATTCTTTGCTGTATATAAAAGGATTTTTCCCCCTTGGGAAAATCGTGTGCTAGAAACTACACTGAAGACAGATGTAACTTTTTTTATTGGACATTAAGCTGTACAAAGTATTTCACAAAATATATACTGCAGTCACACTTCAGCATTTGCTCGCTTTCTTGCATTAGTTTGGTACAAAAAGGTAGCAATAATAATAATAATAATAATAATAATAATAATAATAATAATAATAATAATAGCAGCTTTGACAGAAAGAAATTAAAAAAAGGAAAAATAAAGCAAATCACCCCTCCCCCCTGACATTGATCCTACATTTTAAAATACCGTTTCCCAACTCTCCACAATATTGCACTTGAGCATGCTAGCATGCAGGTAAACATATTGGCTTGCTTCTTTACTGTTGACCCAGTAAACTAGTGCATGTCCTTCTACAACCATCTGCATCAAATGCACTGATATTTTGCTAAGATGCAAATCTTTTATCTGTGGTCAGTACACATACACACTTCATACACACAGAGATAGCCCATAAACAATGCACAAAAGCATCTTTAATTACTTAAACTAACACATGCAAAAGAACATCCATGGCTTGATATTAATGGCATTCAGTTGGCAGGTTCATTTTTTTTTCCACTCCAGAATGGAATGCTGTTTTTATTTTCTTGGATTAAGATCTGGAGGTGAGGAAGACAATGAACCTGATGTGAAGAGAATACAGTCCCCTATAACCAATCCCCTCCGTGTGGTTATCAAAAAATCATTATCAGAAACAAAGGTCACACAAATATACTTGTTCATAGACTAAAAATGAGCAGGGAACAACAGCATGCGCAGTAAACATCAAAACTACCATTAAAAACAATGTGTAATTCTCACATCTTGAATTTTAAAAAATGTTTGCAATTCTAGAATTTGCAATTCTAGAGTGTTTGCAAAGGAAAAAAAAAAATCAGACCTCAGCATTATGTCATAAGAAAACATATTTGTTTGTATTAACCTAGGGATTACTATTGACCTTATTATTTGTCTTCAATTGACAACATAATTCATTCCCTCACTTCTACAGAATGCTTAAGAGGTGCATTTGAATGACTACTATAACAGCTCAACTGCCTGCCTGGATATTGCTTGTAAGGTTATGCGCACAGCTCCTGGTGTCGTGACAGTCATAAGCAATTATGGCTATAAGAAAGTTTAGCAAAAGTACACCCCCTCCCCACCTGGGTCAGGTACCCTTGTTTTATTATTTACATATACTTGAGTCCCATGTACTACATTCTATGGCTAAGCTTTTGACTCTTATGGACATTCAAGATCCACTAACATTCTTTTCCTACTGTACTTAGCTATTTAAGCTTAAAATGCTAGATTGGATCATAGTTGCATTTAAGTGTATCCTAATCGCTTGGCCATAATCATAATAAATGTAGAATGATATAGCAACACATTGAGTTCATGAATGACATTTAAAAAAACCCTGAAAAGGGTGGATAGCATAATATTTAGAAAGAAAGGTGCTGATTAATTGCAGAAGGCTTTTCTTTTTTCTTTTTTGCTAACTATTGTAGCTAAAGAACTGTAGTTTACCTGAATTATGTAGAGAAGGTAATTCTAGTAAACATTTTTTTTTAGTTTGGTAGAAAACCAGATGGCTACTTCATAACCAACAAAGAAACTCTCCTATTGAACTTAAATACATTCAATATCAAATTCGAATCAATATTGCACATATGTGGCCCATTTTTGTAGCACTGAAGCTAGTAGATACAGATTTTTCCCTAAAAACTCTGCACTGAAAATAGAAGATATTTATGCATTTCTGGAAATAATTCTTTTATATTTTGTATGTAAAAATTAAAATAAAAATACTAGTTTTTCAATTTATGTATATGTCTTAACTCAAAATTAAGCAATCTTTATAAAATTATAAAAAGAAAATGCCTCATTTAACATATTACTAAATGAGACTTTTCAAATATTATAATCACTTTTCAATAATCATGCATATAAAAAAATTCCAAAATCAAATGTAGCATACATACTCACAGAGTTAAGCAAAAGTATTATATCTCAGCCAGGGTTGGTTAGCCTTTTTTTTTTTACCCACAATATAGAATACTTCAAAAATACTGTCTAACCATCCATAATATAGTCTCACTGACTTAGTAGAGGCACAATTCTTGTACACTGTACACTGTGGACAACAGCCCTGAATCACAAGTTATACAGAGAAACGTAAGTAAGCATTACAACACAAACAGATAAACAACCAGACAATATATTTGACACTGCATAGAAAAAACACAATCCAGGTCAGCAGTGAAACAATGAAAAAAAAAAAAAACCTGCACAAACAATTTGTATTGTTGATTTTTTTCTTTCTTTTTTTTTTCTCTCTTTTGGCTTTAACGTTTTAAATTTCAAAAATTTAAGTTGCCTGGACTTGTTTTGGTCCTACTGCAATGCCATTACAGTCGAGAATGTATTGTAAACAACCTTGAGGAGGTGGTCGCTGGGATGGGACTTTATTTGATTCGGACTCCTTAGCCGATCCACTCTGCAAGATAGAAAAAGAAGAAAAAAAACCCATAGAGATGAGTGTGTAAGAAGGCTAGAAGATGATGAGGATAGACTGGGAAATATACCTTTGGTTGTTAGACCTGATCTCTTCTTACTACCTTAAAAAATTCCCTGAAGACCCTAATAGAAATGACTCTTGGTGCATCATTAGGAAGCCCAGTGAAGGGAATGCAAAAAGGCAGAGATTACACTGGAACTGCAGGACACAGAAAGAGGGAAATTTCAGGGGCGCTATTCAGCAGGTTCTGACAGGTTCTGGAGAACCAGTAGCGGAAATTTTGAGTAGTTCGGAAAACCAGCAAATACTACCTCTGGCTGGTCCCAGAGTGAGGTGGGAATGGAGATTTTGCAATATCCTTCCCCCAGGAGTGGGGTGGGAATGGAGATTTTGCAGTATCCTTCCCTTGGAGTGGGGTGGGAATGGAGATTTTGCAGTATGCTTCCCCTGCCACCCCCACAAAGCCACGCCCACAGAACTGGTAGTAAAAAAAATTTGAATTCCACCACTGGAAATTATCCTTTCCTCTCCTGTAGTGGTCATAAAATAACCTCATGTTAGCTCCGCCACCCCCAAAAAGCTCCTATTGCCACAAAAAAGACCTTTTCCAGGACAAGAAAGAATTCTATCCTCGGCTCCTTTCTTAACTAATGGATTTCAGGCATCTCAAGGGAGTGAAGAGGGAGACAATAAGGGCAAAAGTGGAGAAGTTGTTGCACTGAGAAATTTAAATACTGTATATATTTTGGGATAAGAACATGCAGCAAAAATGAGTTTTAATGTAGTTTGTAAATGTCCCATTAAAAAGGCACAGTAACTTCAATACATTTATAGCTTATATAATACGAAATACAAGGTTGATAATACAAAAGAGACAGATTATTTTCACTTACGGAAGCATTTCTACTGAAATTGGTATTTTAAAAAATGATTGGGTTTGACGATGCAGGCCTTGGAACAATAAAAATCAGTAAGGGTCTGCCTTATTTCTAGAAATATTCTAGTGGAGAATAAGCAGCAGGGTGGGAAATTTATTACTTTTGTCTGGTGAATATTGAGAGCAGAGCTTGATCTTAGTTGCTGCATCATGGCTAATGATGGACTTGTCATTATCTCTTAGTTTAAGTGAACAGATTTTTTTTACTTAATGAAACTAGTCATTTGTTGGCTATGGAGGTTCTGACTTTGACAGAAAGATTATAATTATGAAATATCATGGACTGTGATTAAAAAGGTATCGGTGAAATCTGTACCAATCCAAGAGATCTATGGTCTATGCTTAATATAGTCCATCTCAAAGGAAATGCCTTCGCCTTAAATTAGGCTTCCCATTATGACCGCTCATATTTCCTGTTCACCTCATTTCCTTAAATATATCTTTGTTTAAGCATTTTGTAATCTTAATAACCCTTGCACACTTTCCGACGGATGCACTTGTTGTTCATTGAACAGTACCTGCAGTTCTTTGCTTGTATCAATATTCTGTTCTATCACAAGTCCATCAAGATGCGTACACATTTCAGGCTTATCACATACCATGTTCCTTCCTTGCTGTCAAGATTTATGGTGATTTAAAAAAGATGAATCAGAGTGACATGTTCTAATGACAATAGCTTTTACTCAAGGAGAGAAAATATAATTTTTCTTACAGGAAAATTATTTTTTACAGGATCTTAAAACCATAATTAATTTTAATTTTAAATTAAAATTAAATTAATTTTAAAAAGTGATATTTCAACAATTTCAAATATGGTCTGTAGATCATCTGAGACTTTTAAAGGAAGTTTAATTTATTCTCTTACTAATGCTACAAATTTATTATATATTACTGTGACATACAGTGGTGCTCATTTAATTATTACAATTTGGACTGGCAATGCTGTTGCTAAGTAATGTGGTTGTTAAGCGAGATATTACATGACTTCAGTGAATTGAATGACTATGGTCATTAAGGGAATCACCTGCAGTTGTTTAAGCAAAAGCCAGTTTAATCTAGTGGTTAAGGCACAGACTAGAAAGTAGGAGATTGTGACTTCCCATCCCGTCTTAGCCATGACTTTGGGCCAGTTGTTGCTTGACCCACCTCATCTGTTTGTTATTGTGGGGAAAATCAGAGGAGAAGTTTGCCACCTTGAGTTATTTGTAAAAATAAAGGCGGGATACAAATAAATACAAACAAACAAAAAAATAAGACATCAGATGACTGGGACTTATGATTTTACTGCCACCTTGTCCACTGACTTTGCTTATCAGAAGCTGGCTGTCAGCTGCAAAATGACAATCACATGCCCATAGGACACAGCAATGGTTGCAAATGCCTGCTGGTTGAGAAGCACCTAAATCTTAATTGCATGAATGTGAGGACATGGCATGTGATGAAAATGTGAGGACCGGTTGTAAAATTACTTTTTCAGTAGCATAGTAACTTTGAACAGTCACTAAATAAGACAGTCATAAAGTGAGGACTGCCTGTATTTGGATCCTTTAGGACCATGATGGTGAAGCTATGGCATGTGTTTCACAGGTGGCATGCAGAGCCCTCTCTGCGGGCACATAAGCTGTCACCCCAGCTCAGCTTCACTGTGCGTGCGCGTGCACCTTCCTCTGGCCATCTGATTTTTGGGTCTCTGTCACGCATGTGCAGGATGCATGCAGGAGACACATGTGCATGCGCGGGGTGAGGGTTGTGCATGCATGTGCAGGGGGAGCGCAGAGGGGGTGTGGCATGCCCACCCCACAGCCCATTTTTGTTCCCAGGAGGCTGCAGGAAGGCCTGCTAGGCCCAAAACAGAGTGCGGCAGGGGGGGTGCGGCGCCCCCCTCATGGCCATGTTTCCCAGGAGGCTGCAGGGAGGCCTGCTAGGCCCAAAATGGGATGCATGGGGGCGGGGGGAACGCAGGGGGCCTCACGCGTGCATTGCATTATGGGTGCCGGCATGTGCGTGAACTTTTGGCACGCGATGACAAAAAGGTTAGCCATCACTACTATAGGATATTCAGAGTTCTAAGGATTCAAAAAAGAGTACCTCTGGAATACAAAAATTAAATTAAGATAAATTAAGAAAAGTGCTGTTATACTTTTGTTGCTGATCACATAATAAAAGTTTCTGATCATCTATGAAGAATCTTGGATGGCCAAAATACCTCTGGGTAAAAGTTCTTGTAGTGAAGGTTTTATTCAGCTTCAGGAATAGGAAACATTATGGTTTTGAGTTATAAATCTTCAAAGCACATCTTCACATAAAAATAAATAAATAAAGATGGATTTAAAAGAGTATCTAATCAGGGATTAAATACAGTAAATCATATTCCTACTAAAACTATTACTGAGTGCTCCAAACATTCTTATGATTTTTTTTCTGTATACATGGAAAATCTAGCAGTTGCCCCAAATACCCACAAAGACCTTGTATGAAAAGGTTATTATGATGTAAATGCTTCTGAATAACGTGCCTGAATGCCAAGATTGACATGAGCAAGATTATCCTTCAATTTGGCTCTAGGGAATAATTTATAATATTGAGTTGTCTGAATAAGTCTGAAAAATTAAATGATTATCTATTACACTTAAATGCAGCTAACCTGTTGATAATTATGCATCTGGTATCCACTACTGACATCTGCAGAACATATGATAATTCTGTTCATCCTACTCCTTAGATACCAAGAGTTCTAATCCTGTGCTCAAAATCAGCCACACCAGGATAATTACAGCAACTGGAGCTGCCTGTATTTTGTGCTGGAGGATTGCCTAATAGCCTGGAACTAAGCCAATAGCGCATAGGATTTTGCTAGAGTCCTCTCCACCAGGCCAATGGTGAGGCTACTGAGATACAGAATTTGCTGTTTGCTGCACAGCATTCCATAGGCCTGAAGGAGATCAATGCAAAACATGCTTCCCAAATACCATAAATTATCTGCAAGAGAAAGGAACTGCAAGTGAGCAAGACAGACCCAACTATTCCATGGGATCATACTAGGATCACATTTCAATGAGAATAGCACCAAATATGTCCTTTATATTGATTCACCAGAGAATGTAAGTATAATGGGAATAACTTAATAGGACTGTAACTGAACAAGTGTAAATTCTTAGGCAAAAAGAACTTCAAAAGAATTTGAAACTATAAATAAAACTATTTAATTCCCTCTATTCCATTTGGACGAGTGTACTATCTTAAAGAAAGTAACTTTCTAGTGGCTATCGCTAGCTACCATGAATACGTAAAGATCTTTTTCTTTCTTAATTGTTGACCTATTGTAGATAAACTGTAGCATCTTTTTCCTAACTTTTAAATTTGTATTTTTGAATATAGGTACTACTGCTAAAGTTAAGTAGCTCTCTTCTAGTCATCTGTATTCCTCAGATATTTCTCCTTAGAGGTTTGCTTGAAGGCAGAGGAAATTCAAAGGGATTTCTTTGATCATTTTTTGCTTCTGATACTGAGCATGTAGAAGTTATGTTACAGTAGGAGGGGGAAAATCTGAAGCTTCAGAATTACAAGAAGCTCTCAAATATTATTTTAGTATCCTCCAATGCCTCTCTGAACATAAATTCTGAAAGTCTGCAGCATGGCTTATTGTAATTTTGAGGCAGAAAACATTAAACATGTCCTAAAGTAGACGTAACATATTGTACTTAAAAAAACCAAAACACCCCCTGCAAAGTTTATCCAAAGAAACTCAGAGAAATAAAACCAAAGAGTTCTAACCTTATCTAAATAAGCCATGAGAGCCTATGCATTTCTATTAATTCATTTTAATTACTAAGTTACAGCAGTCCTCACTCTTCCCACAAAAATATTCAGTAATCTTAACCATCTCTGCATAAGAAAAATACTGCCTTTATACATTTCTCAGGTGTCCAGAGATCATGCACAAATAATCATGAATCGGTTGAAATGCATACTATGAGATGATCATTGTTCTGTAATTTCATACATAAAAGTGAAAAGCTAAACATCTAGAAAAAGTGCTTTTATATAAAGTTCAGCAATAACAAACATTGAAGTATTACTAAATAACAATATCTCCATCTGCTGGTGCAAAAAACAACAAACACTGAGTTGGAAAATTTCCACATGCTAAGTATTCAACAATAGTTTTTCCTTGTATTCTTTGACGGTGTAATTCTTCCAATGTGTTTTGGCTTCTGATAATTTTTTTTTTATCAAATACAAAAATCTCCAGCTTTGTAAGTATAAAGCTGGGATCCACAACAGTAAGCCTAAGGGCACCAGTGTGCCCAGAGAAATTTCTCTTGTGCCCTCATGGTTCACTGCTCACCTGACATTTTGTTTTAGAACTGATCACAGCAATTTAACAGCCATTTTTGAGTAGACAGACTCTCCTAGGACAGCTGCCAGTGGTCATGACTTGCTGCCAAATTCTAAATTGGCACAAACTTTTATTTTTCACATATGCAATCCCTTCTTGAAAGTTCTTTTCACTTTGTCTGCAGGTTTGAGGGACTCCTGCTATAAACACTGCCTAACTTTCTGAATTTTCATTCCAGCAAGAGATCTGTGGCATTATCCTTCTTCTTTCTTTCTTTCTTCTGCCAGCAACCTTTGGAAGAATACTTTTTCCAGTGTATTACCAGTTCGATGTATTACCAGTAATATGTGGCTTAAGCTTAATAGCTATTCTGTGACAGTGTTGGCAAACCTTTTTGGCACCAAGTGCTGAAATGGGAGCGCAGGCGCAGGCGGAAGCACCAGAAACAGAAGAGGAGCTCCCCAGCGTGTACATGCGGGAGTGCCGGAAACCGGAAGAGCAGTTCCCCAGCTCACATGTGCACGCTGGTCACCTGGTCTTCCGGTTTCTGGCATGCATGCACACATGAAGACCAGCTGGCCAGAGCACATGTGTATGCCGGAAACTGGAAACTCAGTTTCCTGGCATGTGCATGCATGCCAGGGAGCTATTTTTCCAGTTTCCGGCACTTCCATGTGTGCAAACACCAGCAGGCAAGCGTGCATGTGCGCGCCGGAACCCAGAAGAGCAATGGACGACAGCTGGCGTGCCCGGAGAGATGGCTCTGTGTGCCACTTCTGGCACGCATGCCATAGGGTCACCATATGGGAAGAGTCCTTAGAAATTCAAAACCTTACAAACGCTTGATAAACTTTCAGCTTGCTTAACAAAAGTATTAATTTAATTTGGATTTTTTTTCTTTCTCATAGTCAGTACATTTTGATTTTCAGAGAAAGGAGGATAATTGTTTCTGCATAATCTGGTGGATCTCTGATCTTCACGTTTATTTTAGCAATGCTCTCTCTGTTGGGGAATTTGATAAAATTGTTTTAATGTTGTTATCAGCTCCTCTAACCAAACAGTTTTCCATAAGGATGACAACCTCACAAAGAAAAGGATTCTGCCCCTCCATATCATTTTCCCACATGAATGCAAAAAGTACCGGGCCCTTAAAATGTGGTCCGCACATTCCCAGTACACTCAGAAAGGTAACCAAGAAAAAATGTGAGTGATTCTTGTAGCCCTTATACAATTTCTTTTTTTAGTTCTAACTGGATCTGTTTTTTATGCTTTTCAGTGTTTCCAATGCTTTGGGGTAGCCTGTGGGCCTTCTATGATCAAAAATCAAAAGGATACATTAGTCCTTGAATCACATAGCTCTAGCATACAAATGCTGAAGCAGCAAAGATACAGGAGGAAGAGAGTTACTCACTGCAGAGCTACCAGAGATGATGTTGTGGTGATTCTGCAGTAGATTCTGAAGTCCTGCAGCCAGGGCTGAGCTGATTTACTCTTTACTTGTAACAAATACATTGTCCAAACAGCTGTCTAAATTCTTCATATAACAATTTTATAATGCAAAGTTATCAATGTTTTGGATATACTTAAAGTTATATATTTCTAACTGCATATTGGCTGCATTATTAAAATTTATCTTAGTCTTTGCTTAGTCTCGTTAAAAATAGGAATGAACTTGCTTTCAGTAGAGACGAGCATTTCCCACAAGATGGTGCTGCACTCTTAGTGGGGAGGTGTGTGTGTGTGTGTGAGGTAAATTAAGCTGACCTGATATATTTTGGACACAGAAACAGACTGAATAAAATAAAATAAAAGTCATAATGCCTTTTTGCTCTTATATTTTTATACTGTGAAATATCCTAATGAGTGTATGTAATCTTAAACATGTAAGTATATATGTATAGACATAGACCAAAAACTATCAATTTGAGCATGATTTTAAAATTTTAAAATCCAGTCTTTGCAGTTCTCCATATATTTTAAACACATTAGTCTGTACCCTTTGACAGTTCCAATAACTGTCTATAAAATATTTATAATTTAAAATCCCTTTAGGATCTTTTTGGTTTTATTGTTTTATTTATGAAAATACTGTCCATGTGTTTGTGTCTGTATAAGAGACAGGATGTATATATATAAGAATTTGCATTATATATTACTATTCCACGTTCATATTATTCAGATTGCTAATATTACCTTCTTCTTGCTGCATATGTGTAGCCTGAGCAAAGCTTTTATTATTTATTTATTTATTTAATTTATATACCGCCCTTCTCCCAAAGGGACTCAGGGCGGTGTACAGCCAGCATAAAACACACAAATATAAAATTTAAAAACAGTTTAAAAAATATTAAATAGTTTGGCCCATATCTAATTAAAATAGATACCCAATTTAGACATTTAAAATTAAGAATTAACAATTAAAAAATTAAAATTAGGCCAGCCCGGCTTGTTGAAATAAAAGCGTCTTGAGGGCCCGGTGGAAGGTATATAAGTCAGGAATCCTCTGCATCTCAGAGGGCAATTCGTTCCAGAGGGCAGGAGCCCCCACAGAGAAGGCTCTCCCCCTGGGGGTCGCTAGCCGACATTGCTTGGATGATGGCACCCGGAGGAGCCCCTCTCTGTGGGAGCGAATTGGCCAGTGGGAGGCTATTGGTAGCAGCAGGCGGTCTTGTAAGTACCCAGGTCCTAAGCCATGGAGTGCTCTGAAGGTGGTAACCAATACCTTGAATCGCACCTGGAGGACCACCGGGAGCCAGTGCAGCTCGCACAGGAGAGGTGTTACATGGGAGCACCATGATGCTCCCATAACTACCCATGTGGCCGCATTCTGGACCAGTTGGAGTCTCCGGGTGCTCCTCAAGGGGAGCCCCATGTAGAGAACATTACAATAATCCAGGCGGGAAGTGATGAGGGCATGAGTGACCGTGCGTAGGGAGTCCTGATCCAGAAAGGGACGCAACTGGCATAGTCTGATTTAATATTTTCTTTTATCCAATTTTTCTGGTCTTAATGTACTTTCCATAATGCCAATCTTTTGTGATACATAATCTAAGTGAACATTTCAGCTTCTAGCTTGAAGCATGAAAAACAACTCTGAAAGTCTTTACTTCCTCAGTGGTGTCTCCGCCTAATTTTCAGATTCATTTTTTTGGCTGTTAGGGAAGGTAACAGTCTTGGTGCTGGTAACGTTAATTGTTAGTATCTCCTCATTGTAATAATTGTGATACTTATAGTAATAGTGATCCCAATGCTCTTCTAAGACCCACTGAGATCAAAAGCAAGAAGAGACATGCTACAGGCCTTTTCTGCTGTGGTACCAGATTTATGGAACACCCTCCCATCGCCCAAAGTGAGTTTGATTCCATCCCTGTTGATCTTCTGAAAGTCCTTCAAAATCTGGTTATGCTGTTAGGCTTTGGGAACCCAGGGGACAGGTGAGATACTTAGCTCTATTATTATTGATGACTGCTGCTCTTTCTTATGTTTTAATTGTGATTTTTAAAATGTTTCCGTTAGTTTTTGATATGTTAACTGTTTTATAATTTTATTGCATGCCATCCACACCATCTTTTCATGAGATGGCAGCCATAGACATTGGATGGATGGATGGATGGATGAATAAGTCCACTACTCAAGTAAGGTGTCAGGGAATTTATGTTACTTAAAGCTTACTAAATATTTCTCCCTAAGGAAAATAATATCACCTACCAAGAGTCCGAATTCATATTCATGACCTAATATTTTCTCACTGCAGTAAGATAGACATGTTTATTACTTACAGATAAGCAGTTCTTTCTTTTTGAACTTCAGAATAAATGACTAGTCAGCATGGTCAGTTATAATCTTCTGGTCAGGTTTTGTGTCATCAATGAAAGTCATCAACAGCTAGCAATGTTTAACTTTTTTGAAGACTGACTTGAAGATACAAATGGACTGAGATATTATTGTATGTTTAATTACAATTTTATAATGTTTTTGTCAATTAAAACTATTTTGGGCCTGAGTAAGACAAAAAACATAGCTAGTAAATATTTATTTCAAATAAATAGAAAAATATATAGATACAAACATACATACTGCTATAGCCACATAAAATAGGATGTACGGAGCTGTTTATGTCACAAAGCCTTGAGAAGAAAATGAGCAAAAGCAAATAAAAGATGATTATAGGTCATATTGTCCCAGTTAACTAACAAGCAACAGACACATATTGTATCCTGAAAGTTAACTTTTAAAGTTACTGCTTTACTTTCAATTGATCTCTATTTGGATATTTTAAAAACACCATATTTGAAATTTTATCTAAGGAATTATCCATGTAATATCCCAGATCAAAATGCTCAAGTTGTTCCTGATAGTTCCTACTAAAATTCTTTTTCTGTGCCTAGACATGAGTCAGCATTCCTTACCTGAGGTTGCTGAAGAGCAGTTGGTTTCTGAGGAGATGGTATAGGTGTTTTAGATAAAAGTTGGTTCATTCTGCTTACAACAAGCTCAGTTATAAGCTGTTTGTCTTCAGCCTGGTGCTCACCAATCAAAGGCGTTGCAGAACCCATAACCTAGAAGAGATAAAAACTAGTTAGCTAAAGAAAGGTAGTAATTTTTAATGCTGTGTCCCACACCACTATGGTTATCATTTATTTTGAACTGCATGGAAAAGAGAGTTAAAAATAAAGGACTGCAAAATATTTTAGATTTTTAAAAATTATTCTTAGCAAGTCTTGGATATATAGGATTATTAGAAAGGTTGAAAAGGAATGCTTTGTTTTATTTTTTTTATGAGAAGAAACCTGAACCGGAATATATTAAAAGTGGATAATTCTAGTTTGGTAAATATACTTGTTAGACTGGAGTGCAGATATTGCAGTGGCTTCATTGATGCATCAAGACTTGCAGAAAGTTTGAGACCCGATACTACAATGTTCCAACAACAGATCCTCTTTGAAATGCAAATAGTATGCATTAGCTGTGCATCCAACATATATAAGCGATAGATTTGCACTAATATAGCTCTATATATTGACCAACGGTTACCATTGTGTGCTTGAGGAGGTCTGGAGAAAGAAAGCCCATAGTGCCAGACATGGTCAAATCAAAGTTTTACATTCCTGCAAAACACTTAGTAAAAACCAACCTAGGAAATAGATATCTAAATCTTTAAATATAGTTTTTAGAAAACATTTGCTAAACATACATTGGCTTAATTCTAGGAGTCTGCCTGGACTACATTGGCACAGTAGCTTTATCTGCACAGTGAACTGTATTAAAAAGTACCAATTATTCATGTAGATTCCTTATTCATTCAGACAAACTGAGATTTATTCAATGGCTGTGAGAAATAGCTTTTCTCTTTCCACTTCCTGTGGAGCATTACCTACTTTAGTTCTTTGGCTTTCTAGAAATACTTTCCATAAAATTATCTTTTGTCAATATCAAATTCATATTTTTAATAATATAAGATATTTCATTGCAGAATTATTTCTATTTATTGTAGAACCAGTTCCATGCTGGATATATAGAAAAGTTTTTTTTCCTTATTAATCAAGTATGAAACAGCTTTATTTGCTCAAAAATATTTGACAGAGATAATCTGTTTTATTATATTTAATTGTATTTGCCCTCTGAAACTACTCTAATATTTCCAAGATGAATAATAGCTTACAAACATTTTTATTTAATAAACAAATGCTTGTGAAAGACATACATGTTAGGTATTAGATAGAAGATTCATACAAGCTGGAACCAAACAATGATTAATGGGAAAGATTATTAATTTCTATGAATCAATGTTTCTCTTGCCAATCAAAATATCTCACTTTGTTCTGTAATATATATATACTGTATATCTCTTCTGTGCAATTTGTAAAAACTAAAAACATGTTGGATAAATGATAATGACTGATGAAATCATCCTTCTGGAATGCACCTTTAATGTGGCAAAGACGCCTCATGGGAACAAGTACAAGATTCATCAATTCAGTGATTAATCATACTTGAATGATAGACCTAGAAAGTAGTGAACTACCAGGCTAACCAACAGATCAGGAATCTACTATATACTTTCTTGCCTCTACTGCAAATGAAAAACAGATTGAAGATAAAACAGTTGCATTACCACAAAGCTGAATGACATGAACCACATTTCATTTTCTTTTAAATACACACACACAACCAAAACATTAACAAAGAAAAAATGCACATGTTTTATTAATGGGCTACATTGGTTGATAAAGATCATATTACATAATATTGTAAAGTAAATGTATTAGTGTACTAAACTATACATTTACTACATTGTTTTAAACAAAAAAAATGGGTAGAATTTATTTATTTATTTTTAATTTTTTTCCTCCTAATCAGAGGAACAAAACCAAAATGACAAAAACCAACAAAGCTCTTGACTAATATTTTTTAAGTTTAGAAACCCAAATAAATAATAACAATTATAATCCCGAGTTATATGCTTGATAACTGTGGAAGAATTTTTCAAATCTAGAGAAGCAGGACCGAACTTTGTAGCAAAATCATAATGCTGATGATATCAATTTGCTTGGGACAAATTTAGGCCAACAGATTTGTCTGTTCCTCTCATCTAAAATCTTTTTTAACAAGTAGTGATAAATGGGTACTTCCCAAGTTTTACTAAGAAGCTTTTATTTTAAAAGTCAATTTCATAATATTACATATGATGAGTGTTATGGATCTAATTAGCATTACCATTAAGAAAGCATTCAATATTTTCAGAAAGTTATACATTAAAATTATAAAATAACTAGTTATGCGACCCCCGAGCGCAAGGTTTACCTACAATCCAAGAGTGGACAATGAAAGTTATAAATCTAGCGGAAATGGCAAAAATCTCGGCATACCTGAAGGATCATTCAAATGAAAGATATTTAAGAGACTGGAGAAGGTGGATAGATTATATTCAAAATAAATATCGGAATAAGAAATTGCAGATAGGTTATGAATGATTATATAGATATTTAGTGTGTCTTTAAGTAATAAAGCTAGGCGGGTAATTAGGGAATTGAAGAAACAAGAGATGTGAAATGTCATAATTGTTTAGATTAGGATTGATTATGATTGTTGAAGTTTATACCCTGTAATTTGTTCTGGGAAGGGGAGGGGGGGAGGGGGGAGGTTGAGGTAGGGAAGGGGGGGGAAATATGTAAACTTTTTGTAAAACTTTTCAATAAAAAAAAAATATAAAATAAATAGTTATAAAATGTGATGGATAAGAATATTTTCAGGTTTGCAATTTATATTTTACGTACTAAGGATATATTTCATATGTATACTTTTAAATCTTTTTTTGACAGGGCATCCCCTTTTAGTCCCCTCAAAGAGAAAAAAGAGAAAAGTATTTTTTTTATTTCTATGCACTTTGTCAGAAAATCCATGTCTGTGGCTTGGGTAGTGACCTCTGCCTAGAAAGGACAAAGTTCAAAGTTAGAAAAACGATATTCTAATTTGTTCAAAGTCAAGAGTCTGATCAAATTAAGTCGGATTCTGACTTTGCTAAACAGGTGTCAGCATTTTAGGAAGGCCAGCTCTGGAAACAGACATCACAAGAAGTATTAGGATTTAGTTTTATTGTTGCAGGATATAATATCAGATATTTGACAGTCTGCAGGAATTTCCTTCTGCATTCATTCATTCATTCATTCATTCATTCATTCATTCATTCATTCATTATCACATTTCACCTATCTGACTTTTCTGTCATACAGAATTTAGGGGAGGTATTTTGGGTTTCTTTCTCATGCTCCTTGTTTCCCCAGAAGATTAAAATGTTATTTACTATCTCTTTTATCTGCTAACAGCTTTTGGATGCCTTTATCAATTTTACCTCTATTTTCCTCAGTAGATAGATTTATCAAGCTCACATGTATCCTAATATATTGGTTAAACACTCCTCAACGATTAGTGTTTTCTATGAATTAAAGAATATTTATTCTATAAATCACTAGAAGCAAAAATTTAACTGACCTGAGTAGCATACATCAATATTTAGCACAGGAAAATATATCTTATGTCTTTAAATGGATATATGACTATATTCTCAATTTCCCATTTCATGTAATGTATAATATTTGGAGGTTTGTTTTAGGAAAGGTAACCCATTCATCTTGTACTCAAAGGACTTAGGGAGAGTTTGTTTAGAAACATGGAAATATTTTGATATTTGGCCTAAAGTATATGTTCAGAACCAACTCATAGCATGATTGTGCTTTTCCACTATGTTATCACAACATGTACCTTTCTTTAACCATTTGAACTTTAGCATTTTAAATCACGTATTTCTCCAAAGAGGTAGAGATAGATAGATAAATAAATAAATAACTTTTTTCTTTCTTTTTTTTAAAGTGATATATTATTTTAAAATTTGCAAGCCATCCAGAGCCTGTTTGGAATCAGGAGACCACAAAATCCAAGATATAAATTCATAATTAAAAAATAAGAGCAGTGACAGAGAAAAATACACTTATTGTACCTCAAAAATATAATCCTTTCCATCCTTTCCATGGACTGCTTTGACAGCACATATATCCAAGCCACCAAACATCTCAGAGCAGCTATCAATCCAGAGCTTGTATCTGGAATTTGAAGACAAGTTTCCATTACCTTAAAACACAACTTTGTCCTAACGGAGATTCAGCTAAATGGCTTGGGTTTAGACTGCATTCAAACTATTTTCTTTGTATCCCATTCTTTTAAAAAAAATCACATAGAGCAGTAATTGGATTACTGTACATCTAAGCTGTCATATTTTTATAATATACAAATGAAGCAGCTACAACGTATCTATTTTAAGCATCAATATACATTACCTGGGAGTTTAAAAACTCCATAAAGTTCTGAGATATCCCATTAGAATATTGAAGAGAATTTAATATGAGTGAATCAGATCTGGGGAAAATGTATATCATGCTGTGTTTCTTATTATTATACATTTTTAAACTACATTTCTCTTAATATCATCAATATATGTCAAATTCAACATCTATAGAAGTGCTCACTGACATGATTGAGTTTATTTAGTTAACAGTCACTTCTATTGTGAAGTACTACATATAGCAATTGAATCTAAAAATTTCATTATGAACCTGGAAAAAATAAAAATAAAATAAAATAAAGAGGTTTTGAAAAACCCTCATTATAAAATCAAAAAAGCATTTAGAATATTTTATGGTTTATATGTGCAGAACATATGAAAAATGATATTGAAAAGAATAGTCTTGTCTTGGACAATTTACTAAGGAAAAGTATATCTACACAGCAACCTTTAGGTATCTGATTCAGTACAATACATATCCCTAAGAGAATTTTGATCACTTGGCTAATCTCAAAAACATTAACATGATTTGATCCTGGTTAGCACTTAGATGGGGCCATAGGAATACCGACTAAACTTGGAAGTCCAGAAAACATCCTAGAAAAAGACAATGGTAAACCTTTTTCTCCAATAAATCAACATGAACAGAAGCTGAACGGAACTCAAGACAGACTTGTCTCTTTAAGTCTGTCTTAAGAACAGACTTCACTATTGTGTACAAACTCACTAGTCTTTTTTCCCCATATTCTAAAGCACCATTAGCTGTGTGAACCAATCTCATATCTTCAATAGTTACTCAAATGAGAAAACAGACTCATGGACGAATTTAATATTTTACCCTGTAGTCTAAAAAAAAAACCCCAATCCAAGGGAGGAGATAATCAAATGGATTAACTTCAGCTAGTGAAAGAATTTTTATCAAGGATTCCTTTTGTCAGCAGTATAAATCAGTTTTCCATGTAGTCCTGCATATACCTCCCAATCAGCTGTGAAGGATTGGAGGATTACTGATAAAAGTGTAAATGGGCTGGACATGATATTTCATATATTTTTTTAAGATACTTTTTCATGTAAAGCCTAGGTTGAGGAGTGTGATGAGGTAGACAGTACCTCATGGCTCCAGGTTTTGCTACATTTTTTTCTATGATATGGAAAGTGGGCATTATATGAGGACTAGATGGAGTGTACCCCAAATTAAACAAGATGCCCTGTAAGACTTGGAAATGAGAGAAGAACAGAGCGGTGGAGTGAATAATCACAAGACGGTTGGAGATAAAGAGAAGTTTGGGACCAAACTGTACGAATGGAACCAGTAATTGAGCTCCCCATGTATCTCATCTGTGCAGATTCCCAACCATCAGTTTGCTGAAATTCATTGGAAACTTCCAGCACAAATTAGAAGCTACATTTTTCCTCAAATGAGCCTGATGTTTGTTGCTGCTGAGCCCAGACCCATAGGAATACACCTGGCATTTCTTTGTGGTTCTCAATGTTATCTGAATCTATCACCAGGGCAGGGGTGAAATGCTCCGGGTTCGGACCGGATCGCCTGATCCGGTAGCGATGGCGGCCGGTGGTTTGGAGAACCGATAGCAAAAATCCCTGCGCGCCCCCCATGCCCAGCTGAGCTGCGTGACCATCAGAGGCTTTTTTTTTTTACTTTTAAAAGCATTTTTTCTACAACCTCTTCGGCCGAAAAGATGCTTTTAAAAGTAAAAAAAAAAAGCCTCTGATGATCGCGCAGCTCAGCTGGGATCGTCAGAGGCTTTTAAAAGCATTTTTTTCTGCAACCTCTTCGGCCGAGGAGGTTGTAGAAAAAAAATGCTTTTAAAAGCCTATGATGATCCCAGTTGAGTTGCCTGATCATCAGAGGCTTTTAAAAGCATTTTTTTTCTGCAACCTCTCCGACTGAAGAGGTTGTAGAAAAAAATACTTTTAAAAGCCTCTGACGATCCCAGCTGAGTTGCCTGATCATCAGAGGCTTTGAAAAGCATTTTTTCGGCAACCCCTCTTCGGCTGAAGAGGTAGAGAAAATGCTTTTAAAAGTAAAAAAAAAAAGTTGGCCAGCTTCGGAACATGTGGACCAAAACACCTCTTTTTGAATTGCTAAAGCTCCACAACTACTTCATATTCAAGTAGTTGTTTCTGACTCCCAGCAATCTCTGCATGTACATGCTTCCGAAGTGGCCCTACCATCTTTGCAATTTCCATGGGTTCTGATTCTAGCAGAAACCAAAAATTATGAAAAGAGAAAGCTAAAAACAGACAAAATAAAAATAAAAATCCTTGAGCAAACACCTTATAGAAATACTTATTTACCTGTCTGTCATAGCAATTTGTTCTAACATTGCAGATCCAGTGTTTGTTTTCCAGTTTCCAGATATAGAAGTTCTCCTGTGGAGAAATAGAAAAGCTAAAGAAGCACACAGGTCTTTTCAATTTAATTTTATTTAAATTTAATTTTATTAAACTGTTCATTTATTAGGAAAAAAAATGCTTCCCAACACAAGTGTGAAATATAAAATAAAAAAGGATCCTGAATAAACAAAAGTATGTAATTTGATTTGATCAAGAAAGAAGATACTGAGAAAAAAAAGTTTTCTGCATCGAATAAACTTGCAGTTGTTTTAACAACTCAAAGGATCAACTTAAGAACTCAGTGAAGTCATGTTAAAAGAGAAAGTATTTTGACTAAACCTAAATAGATATCTAAATATGACAGATAATTGGCATTGTGTTAATAATTATATAATTACATAAAAAACTATATGATTAATCAATACACCATGAGATCTGAATCATTAACCAGTGTTATAAGTAAAACCTGTGTGCTTCTGCACAGTATTTTTAGGGAAAAATTATATTGCGAATAGGTAGATAGTTTCCTATATGTTTAATGTCTGCTTTTGTGGTATTTGTTTTTTTACACTGTGTCACTTCCTTGAAATGTACTAATAATGCAATGCCGACATGTATAAATCTTTAAATGTTACAAGAGCTCTGAAATTGGCAATTCCCAACTATTGTAGTTTAGTTAACTGGACATTAATTAATTATCGTATAAGCAGCAGAAGATTGCAGTACCAGAGATTTTGAAAACAGCATGTCAAGGCAGCTTATATTTCCTTTGCCATCTCTTAAACTAATTGGTCTTTGTGCTAAAATCACAAGTATACAAAAACAGATTAAAATCTACTGTGGAACATCAAGTTCCTGACTAAACATATCAAAGTAATGTTGATTTGGGGTATAGCTACGATTCAAGTCTTTTCATATGTAATATGATTTAACTGTAAAAGCTAAAGGATTTTGTCTCAAAGTTTGTAACGTCCCACCCTTTGAGAAGATACACTAAGAATAAAAATTAAATGTATTCATATTTCTGTTTGAAAAAATGTACCAATTATCAAGTAACAGTGCCAAGATTCATTCTATGTATAAATATGAACAACACCCCGCCCCATTGAAATAGACTACTCACATAGTACTGTCTCATAAAACCACTTTACTATAGCATCCCTCACAGATGGCTTTTGCTTAAACACCTCGACTGGCAAGCCTTCCATCTCTCATGGTAGTAGTCTGTACTACTGTTGCAGTTGCAGTTAACATAGGGATTTTTTCCCCCAATAAATATATTTTCTTTGAATTTATACTTACTGTTTCTTATCTTGCCTTTTGAAGCAACACTGAACAATTCTTTTCCATTTGCTACATCGCAACTTTTCAGAACTATCATGCCCACAGTCTATTCCATTGGAGAATATGATGATACCTTTGGGTTTATATTATGTCTATAGACTATTTATTTGATTGTTGATTGATTTTATGATGTATGCCACTCTGAGTTAAGATGGGCAGCTATAGAAATCAAATAAATAAATTGTTCTTTTGCAATTACTTTATGGCATATTATTTTCTCTGTTGAATACTACTGAAGTTCATTTGGATTGTTTTAAATTAATTACAACATACATTTGAAAAATACGGAATACATAAATAAAATATTGGAAATGATATTAAACAATTTCTCATATTTATTCAGAATGCCTCTTGTTCTCACACTATTTTAATATATTTGTTTGAAAAAGGAAAGATTCAGTTTATATTTCTGAATAATTTAGATCTATTATTAGAACTGGTGATTGTCAGTACTGCTAAAGAAAACAGATTACCTACCTTTCCCAAAACAGAATAAATAATGTTCATTCAGTCTCAATATGGAAGAACAACAATATCACACAACCCCAGAATCTATTTGCTCACATGTAAGCTTTATAGTTGTTTCCAATCTTTTGGATCCTGATGTCATATTTGGAGTCTATGTAGGGTTCAGTGGTAGCATAGGTTTGGGTAAGAGCTACCACACTGGCTATATCCTGAAAATCATAATGGTTGTCTACTTTGACCTGTTTTCAGCATCCAGAGGAATTTCACGTATAGAAAAAAGAAAAAGCAAGAATTAAATTTCTCAAAAAAATGGACACAGTATTTCTAAGCATAATAGATTTTTAAGAGAAATACATTACTAGTCATTCTTAACTATCAATAACAGTTGAGGCTTAATAGTTAGGATAGTTAATTGTCAGTCTGCATCAGTCTCTTCCAAATTCCACATTTGTTATACTACAATCATCCATAGACAGGAATTGATTGTTTGATGAACAGATGGGGGCTATAATACAATGCAACCTATTTGGAGAGCAACAGACTGGAAAAGTCTTTACATATAATTTTTCAGACAGATTAAATATTCTATGTAAAATGAAGACATTCCTGTATATCCTGTCATATGTAGGAGAGTTCATGATATTCCATAAATAAAATTACCCTGAAAAACAATTTTGATAAGTTTGCCCAAAAGTAAAATCAATGGGCTGGGACCTGGCAAATTATAGAACTAATATACAATATACGAAATCTTTCTACTTTTGAAATAAAGCATTTTTCTTCAAATAATTTTTACTATTTAAAGTGTCTTTCAGCTTATGATTTGAGTTTTACAAGTTTTTAAACTTGTGCTCAAGAGACTTAATATACAGTATATAGCTAAAATTAAGCAAATACTGTGACAGACAGCATAATTGCTTAAAGTTTTAATCTTTTTTGTTAGAGAGTTTGAATCGAGCAATATTTACATAACCATCTTCTAAAAAATAATTTGTTATCTTTCCTCAAGATATATAAATAAAGCATAATCACCTTTCCCATGCCTGAATGAGCATGTCCAATTTTCACAACAACAGGAAATGTTGGCAATGTCAGCTGGGGAAAGGAAAGGAAAGGAAAGGAAAGGAAAGGAAAAGAAAAGAAAGAAAAGGAAAGAAAGAAAGAAAGAAAGAAAGAAAGAATTAAAATAGTTACATAATGAATGGATAATTCATTATCAGGTTCATGTTTCTCTGTAGATAAAAAGGTTGAATTAGAAGCCTTTTGAAATGCCACCAGTGGTGGGTTGCCCCTGGTTTGGTCCAGTTTTTGTCAACCAGTAGTAAAACCGGGGGCAGGCTCCGCCCGCCCACCCAGATGTCATCATACATCATCTGCACATGCGTGAGCGAATCTGGGTGTGTGTCTGTGATCCCGTTATGAACCAGTAGTAATGGTAAGTAGAACCCACCCCTGAATGCCACGTATTCTCCAAAGCACCTGAGGGCAGGACAAGAAATTATACTTATTTTCCAGAAGTGCCTGAATGACTCGCTTTTCTTTTAAACTTCAACAAGCATTTTGCTGGTTGTAGTCCAATTTGGAAGGTTTAAGATATTTGAGCTACTAATCTATATGTTTATTTTCTCCATTTTATTTATTATTAAATTTAATGAATGAAATGATAATAATTTGCATAGAATAGAATAACAGAGTTGGAAGGGACTTGGAGGTCTTCTAGTCCAACCCCCTGCTTAGGCAGGAAACCCTACACCACTTCAGAGAAATGGTTATCCAACATCTTCTTAAAAACTTCCAGTGTTGGAACTTCTGGAGGCAAGTTGTTCCACTGATTAATTGTTCTAACTAACAGGAAATTTCTCCTTAGTTCTAAGTTGCTTCTGTCCTTGATTAGTTTCCACCCATTGCTTCTTGTCCTACTCTCAGGTGCTCTGGAGAATAGCTTGACTCCTTCTTCTTTGTGGCAGCCCCTGAGATATTGGAACACTGCTGTCATGTCTCCCCTAGTCCTTCTTTTCATTAAATTAGACATACCCAGTTCCTGCAACCGTTCTTCAAAAGCTTTAGCCTCCAGTCCCCTAATAATCTTTCTTGTTCTTCTCTGCACTCTTTCTAGAGTCTCAACATCTTTTTTACATCTGGGCCAACCAAAACTGAATGCAGCATTCCAAGTGTGGTCTTACCGAGGCTTTAAAAAGTAGTATTAACACTTCACATGATCTTGAGTCTATCCCTCTGTTTATGCAGCCTAGAACTGGGTTGGCTTTTTTGGCAGCTGCTGCACACTGCTGGCTCATATTTAAATGGTTGTCCACTAGGACTCCAAGATTTCTCTCACAGTTACTACTATTGAGCAACTATGAAAGGGATCTTGTAGTCCTAGTAGACAACCATATCATATTGTAGAATATGATATGAATTGTATGTGTGTGTTATGTTTAGTACAGAGAAAATGTGATCTTTTTTCTTTCTTTTGGCCCATAATCACAGACATAGACAGAGACACAGACACACACAAACACAATTTTAAACTGGGACTAAACTGCTGCTTGCTGAATGATCTTACTGAACTTATGTAATTACCAATTATGCAGTCATGATAAATATGGCAGAAATCTTGCCATTCACAAACGATAGTCTGTATAATCAGCATAATGATGTGATGAAAATATAGACAGCAAAAAATTACAAACTAGAACTAAAAATAAGCCTTAGTGTTAAAATATTGGGTTTTAATACACTGTTTACTCAGATAACATGTGAAATTGAAAATCTGATTTACAATATACCTCACACATGCAATTTTGCTAAATATTCCAGAATTGAATATTGTTCTAAAGTGCTTTCCCAACCATTGCTGACAATGACTTATAATAATTAAAGTCACATTTCTTCTGATATAAGAAATCTTTCATGTTTCACCAATAATATGCTTTTGGCTTAAAGAAAGGAAAAACAGTCCTCACGTCAGGAACCTTAAAAGTTATTTAAGATAAGTATATCTTCAGAATGGACTGTCTGAGCATTTCTGCGCCCAATAGAAAAAGTTTAATCTGCTGAAATTAAATTGCTGCTTGCTCTAAGAGGAAACTAGATCGTCATTAGCAAATTTAGGAGGGGAAAATTGAACAGCGAAAGAACATTTTCTTCAAGCTGGCCAGTCATCCAGGTGTGTTTCCAGCAGCATGATTCCTCTACTCAATCCCTTGCTATTTCCACCACTGCTCCTTCTAACCCTCAGTATTCAGGATCCGACTGAAGCTTGCAGCTGTTTCCCGACTCATCCACAGCAACAAATCTGTAGTTCTAATATTGGTGAGTCACAAATCATCTATGCTTTTTACTGGACAAACTAGCACAGCTGTTTAGAGACATGATTAGCTGTATGCTCACATATCTGTAATGCTCTAGGGTTCATATCTCAGAATGAATCGGCACTGTAAAAGAAAAAAGTTAAACACTACCACACAGGATTCCCAGGATAAAATGAATTTCAAAAGCATGTAAAAGTGCTTAAGTTTGGAATTCTCTGTTTACCATCTTTATCTTTAATAATTTACTGGACTTGCTATATTAAATTTATTTTCAATAATCTGTGGAATGATAGGCACTAGAGCTGTTTCTGAATATTACTAACATTTCATATATAAACAAACATGAATAGGGGTCATGTAATATGTATGCTGTACAGACGATAACAGTAAAACAAAATACACATTTACAGTTATAATCTGCTTCTTAACTATCTTAAATCAAGGATTTATCAAGTTCCTTTCAGCTGATTTAAACTTCACAGTTGAATATTTTTGCAACATATGCTAGACTTTCTATGAGTCTTTTTTCTCCCTCCCTCTCTCTGTTTAGGTATGGGAGTTTGTTAATTCATGTCGCTATATACTGCATACTAAATACTATATACAGTATTTATCGACAATCTCTCTCTCTCTCTCCCCTGCCAAGTGTATAATCTGTATAAAGTTTTCCATTATGAATATATTAAAATTTTATAATGTGATAATCCAAAATTATCACAATATGTGACATTTTTTCATTTTATCAATTCAAGATATAGCTTCTATTCAGAATTGAAGAGCAAATGTAAAACATTAGTTTCTGAAATGTCACAAAATTAGCATTTGTATGGAAGAGGCAGAACCTTCTGCCTACTGATTGCTTTTCTGTGTTGATAAAATCTTTGTAACCATGACAAGCTCTAACCTGCCCAAATCCATCAAGAAAATTACCTAGACAAGCAGTATAAAATATAAGAGAAAAATAACTTAGTTTAATGATAAAACAATTCACATGTGTTGTTTCTATGCATTCTTATATGTATTACTTTTCTGAAATGTGAAATATATCGATACAGCATGTCATGGTAATCAGTTGAGATGAAATCATTATAGAAAGTTAATTTCTGGTTTAAGTTCATATTTATATTTCTTTATTTTAAAATCCATACCTCCATAGTTTTGAGATTAAAATGAAATGACTAGTTTTTAGGCTGCTTAATTACAAATCACTACATAGTACTTTAGGTGAAAAACAAAAACTAACAATACATTATTTAAGCTGCAGAATTGTTTATTCAGGGCTCTCAGTTTTTAATCTGTTGAGCACTTGTGAGAATTTATCAGTATTTGTCTATTCTACATACACAGATCATATTAAACAGTACACATGTTTTATATTTGTAATCATACAAAAAATATATAGCAGGTACTAATAGTGAAGTCAGTGGTTGAAGCTAACATGGTTGGGACATCAAGAATGTAAGGTAAGCAAGGCTACAGAACATAAATAATATTTAAGGAAGAATATTTAAAAAACAGATCCATAGTAGAGCATCCTACAGCAATTTTAATGTTATGGTACATGCAAGCATATTCATAATAAAATAGACAGGAATAAAATATTCTGGAACGAAACAGGTTGGCAGGAAGACTTGAATATTTACAGTCAGGTCCCATCTAAATATTTTTATCTTTTTGTAGTAAACTACATAGTCATTGACATTTAAAAAGAATTTAATTATTCATAAAAATCAATTCTACTAGGTGTTTGATTATTTATTCTTTGAATTGTGATTATTTTCTATAATTTAACTTTTGTTTATTTACTCTGAGTTCTCTGAGCACCAAGGATCCCACATGTCAACCATGAGCTACAAAATATTCTCCTTTATTGGTATTTATTTATTTAAATTTATTGGCTGCCCAACTCCAATGGATTCTTTAAAAAAGGAATGGGGAATAAGAATTGGAGAATAAGAAATTATATACTATCTTCTGAAGCTATTTACAAATGGATATTCTATAATTGTCATACAATAAGGTTGCTTTTATGTATATGTTGGCTGAAGTAAACAAGAAAAACTCCCCAGCCTTGCTCCATATGACTTCAAAGCAGTGGTCTTCAGAGAATGGAAGAACTGGGAGCCAAGGAAATTTGCCCCACTTCACCAGCAGCAAATGGAGCATTTCACAGGGCACTAAGTTCACATTTCCCTTGCTAACCACTTTTAGAGAGAATTTAATTGATGCACGATTCATTAATTCATTAATCATTCCTAATCCATTCATGATTCCTCTTCCTTTATCATAAAACTTTCGATCTGAAAATAAATATGCTTAATTCTCCAGTTTACAGTGAAGCATATCTCTTATGGTTGTGCCAAAATCTCAAACTCAAAATATTTCAAAAAGAAATGTTTCAAACTAAAATTCTCTTTTCAATTGTTTTTTTTTCAGCAAGTGGAAAGTTCTAAGACTTCAAAACTCCTCCAGCAACAATCAGAAGAGGTTGTTTCATACTTAGGCCAACATTTTCAAAATGAAAATTGACCATTTTTTTAAAAAAGAATTGAATCAGTCAAAATTACAAATGCCTCAGCTAGGTGCTTCCTGCACAAAGTTTTTGTTGGTGTTATAATGCTAGGATGTGACTAGCCATCAATGGTCTTAGGCAAGGTAACAAAGGTTGGCAGGAACAACTTGAACAGGCTCTTATTTTTTTTCAAAAGGATTTGCATCATTTACATATCAGCTAACAAGGATTTGCATCATTGCAATAGAAACAACGGAAAGAACGTTGGAAATCAACTGACTAATAAACCACAGAAATGATAACAGAGTAGAGGCAAGCATTGTATCACCAGCACTAAAATGGGACTAAAATGATGATATATTCCCCTGTCTTGGCAAGTGAATGAGTTAATTAAGAAACCTTCAAGTTGTAATAATTCTTGTGAAAGATTAACTTCCCACTTCCTTCCTTACTGTACATCCCATCGGTAATTTAAATGGTGATACTTCTCAAGGCATTAGCAACCTAAATCTGTGCATATAGAAATTTGTTCCAGTTGAAAGGGCTTGCCTGAATGCTGAAGAATCCTGTGATATGGGATAATGTTTAATATAAGTAAAGGTAAAGGTAAAGGTTCACCTCGCACATATATGCTAGTATTTCCCAACTCTAGGGAGAATATAAGTAATAGAACTTAATGGAATGGAATAGTATGGTGTGATGTGGTATGGTGTGGTGTGGTACAGGTAGTCCTCGACTTACGACCGTAATTGAGCCCAACATTTATGTTGCTAAGCGAAACATGTTAAGTGAGTTTTGGCCCATTTTACAACCTTTCTTGCCACAATTGTTAAATTTGTAACACGGTTGTGAATCTGATTTCCCCATTGACTCTGCTTGTCAGAAGGTTGCAAAAAAGGGATCACATGATCCCAGGATACTGCAACTGTCATAAATATGAACCAGTTGCCAAATTTCTGAATTTTGATCAGGTGACCATGGGGATGCTGCAAGTGTGAAAAACGGTCTTTTTGTCACTTTTTGCAGTGCTATTGTAAGTTTGAATGGTCAATAAATGAACCATTGTAAGTCGAGTACTACCTGTATAACTAATATAACTATAACGAGGTAAATAGTATTTGTGAAAGAATGTACACTTATGTTTTAAAAGCTGACATTAAGGAAAGTTAAATAGTTATTACTTCAGGTAATGCTTAGAGGTCAGAAAAGGAAATCAGGTATGACTCACTTAACAACCTTCTTTTGACAAAGAAATTCTGATCACAATTGTAAGTCAAGGACTCCTTCTACCTGCATATTATATCATTTTTCTTAACTTATCTTTTGAGATAGTTGGTACTGTGTTTCTCAATATTGGCAACTTTAAGATGAGTGGACTTCAATTCTCAGAATTCCCCGTCCAGGATGCTGGGAATTCTGGGAGTCGAAGTCCATCCATTTTTATTATTTATTTTATTTTATTATTGCGATTTATATGCCGCCTTTCTCCCAAGGGACTCAAGGCGGCTTACAAAATGACAATTTCCAATACAAATCACAGTAAAATAGAATTAAAATCAACAGCCCAATTAAAACAGTTTAAAATTATAACAGTGTACATCCAAATGGATCAGTTGAGTTGACGGAAGAGCCACGTCTTCAGCTCACGACGGAAGGAAAGGAGGTTGGGGGCTGTCCTGAGCTCGGTGGGCAATCCATTCCAGAGGGATCCAGATTTTAAAGACGTTAAGATTGAGAAAGCCTAAGCTGGTAGGAAGAATCCCTGGCACAGACCATCATGGCATCCTGCAATAGAATTTTTTTCCTTCCCTCTTTCAGAGGGCCAATGCTACCAATTGTCCTGTGACAAGGAACAAAGTTCTTTTTAGTTTTTGAAAACTATTCTTGATTTGTGTGTGTTTATCACCATAGCACCTAAGCTAATTTGGTAAGGTTTGTATCCTGAAAGACAGGACGTAAATCGTTTTAATAAAATAAATAATTGCTTTCACATTACTATGATTTTTTTGGGGAAAAAATCAGGTATTTTTTCAGTCAATTTTTTCAATAATGTTTTATTTTATTTCAGTGATTCGTGCAAACATAAAGAGTGAAAAAGTGGTTGAAGATTCATCTTCTTCTTTGAAAATGATCCGGTATGAAATCAAACAAATAAAGGTATCTAAAACACTTTGTCTGTTTTGAGGCTAAAATGCCAGGAAAAGACATACATTTAGGAGACTAAAATTTGCTCTGTGCCATTCTATTGACAGTACAACCAATGCTTCAATAGGATGTAAAGACACTGGTAGATGGATAGTGCTCATGCAAGTCTTCCCTTTCAGAACTGAAACAAAGCAGGAAATAAACAGGCTCTTCTCACTATTTTAGCGAAGGAGATAGTATTGGTGTTCTTGTAATACACATCTGCAGATCTGAATGGCAACTAGTAGCCAATCAGAAGGTGCCTTTCCTGGTCAGTGAGCTGAATTGTCTCACTTATTATCCAATAATGTTAATAGTGCCTTTCCCCACTCTCTTTAGCTTTGCATCAAAAAATACATCTATTTCCAAAAACCCAAAACAAACTAACAAATTGAAAGCATTTCATCTGCTCACCATAGTGGCTATCCTCTGACATGATTTATATTTTCACCCTGACCTGCAGCTCTGCAACTATGCTGGCAGATCAAGGATTGGGAATTAGATGCTCCTGTACAGTCTGACCTGTAGAAATTATTGGAACAAAATGCTCCTGTGCAGCTGCAAAGAAATGTTATCCATGTGCAAAAAAATGTTTAACTGTGGCAAAAAGAAAACAAGTCAAGAGAGATCCAGAAAGACTGTTAATTAATCAGTGGAAAACTCAAGGTTTTTTTTTCAACTGGACTGGAACTCATTTCTGAGTCAACACCTTTAGTTACATAAGAACTTAGCTATGGGAGAAAAATAGCATCTCATTCATAGTCAGGATAAATAACTTTGAATTTGAAAACAACCAGTGTAAATTTAATTACAAATAGGTGTGTCAGAAACAAAACTTGAATAATTCGAAATGTTAGTTTTGCAAATAAGATGCCATTTTATTATGAACAGATTTTGTGTTGTATGAAAAAACTGCAGCTTTACAGAAATATGAAGAATCCTTAAGAGACAAGAGAAACAAAAGCATATTTTAAGAGATGTAATATCCAACAATAAATTTAAGAGAGAAAAAAAGAACAATTCTTGTCTGAAAACAATATCAACTTTAATTTCGTATCATATTGCCAGATTTCCTACAAGGACGATCTGTAAGGTAATTAAAATATATTAATAACTTTAAAATATATTGGTAGGACCAGGTTACATGACATCATAAAGAGCTGTGGTGGCGCAGTTACAATGCAGTATTGCAAGCTAATTCTGCCAACTGCCAGTAGTTTGAGTCTCACCAGCTCAGAATTGACTTAGCTTTCCATCCTTCCAAGGCTGGTAAAATGGGGGCCCAGATTGTTGGGGGCAATATGCTGACTAACTTCTTAGAGAGCACTGTAAAGCACAATGAAGTGATATATAAGTCTACGTGCTATTGCTATCTGTTCTTTACACCTTTGCTAAAGAAAGGATCCTGTTTTTTCACATTTAGTAACTACTAAATGTGTTGATTCTCCTAGTCTTGACTATATTGGCTGTTAATTTTTTTGACTGCCTTCCTTCTTGGAATTGGGTATAGTATAGTGAGTAAGTTTTTTTTGTAGAGATGAGGTTATATAAGGCACAATCTTTCTCAACAGTCTAGAAATGTTAAAATAAATTAAATAATTGTCAATGTTATTTCAACTAGGAACTAAGAGATTATTACATCAACAAATATATTAAATTTTTACACTATAATGGCCATCTACTCCTGATGGGATTAAATATTCTTAAATGACAATTTTTTTCCTTCCAAAGAAACAGGAGTAACACTCCACATTTCCTTCTGTTTATATTACTGTTTACTGCAACTCTTGGTGACTTTTTTTTTTTTCTTACTCCAAGTGCAACTCTGATTTGCAACAAATAAAAAGCCAAACTGGTTATTCCTGCTTGTATAGAGTTTCCTTACCGGAAAGGATTATTTTCCCCAACAAGGCTATCCAATTTGTATTCCTAAGTGATAGTAGCTGGAGTTCATACTTTCTCCCCCCTAGTTTGGCAGTACCAGGTCTATGTTTGCTTCTGGAAGATGGAAACATAGCCACCTCTATTCATGGTTTGTTATTTCCAAATTAAATAAATATAACGAAGGTACCTAATGTACTCTAGAAAGCAGCAGTTTACCTAAAATGGATTTGTATGTACTAATCTGTTTTGAAATACCTGCCCTTTCATTTCATTTCTGATCCCAATTCAAAGTGCGGACTTTAATTCTCTCCAGAAAGGATTTTGTCCCTGTGTTTTTGTTTGATGGTTTTCCTTTTTCCATACAGTTTGCAATTCATTTTATTTATATATTTGTTTATAACATATTAAAACCAACTCTGGGCAGCTTACGATCAATGAAACAGTTATAGAATCATACAACCAACAATGATAAAACTAAAAAGCAGGAATACCTGGAGCCACAATGATATTGAGGCCAACTCTCATCTCAGCTTCACCTTGCCTTATCTTAGAGTCTGGGAGAAGAGCCATATTTTGAGTACTCTCTGAAAGGTAGGGGGTCTCTTGGATCTCCAGCAGGATGGTGTTCCATAGGGCAGGGGATATAATGGAAAAGGTATACTTCCAAGGACCCACAAGATGGCAATTTTTAATGTATATGGAACATGCCTACTCTATCCACTTTAGTTTTTAACTTTAAAAATTAACATGGAAGTCATATATTCGTATTTTAAAAGAACTAAATAATCCTATAAGCAAGATTCTAGTGAGAAAATATTTGGTATTATGATTTACCATGCCTAGTTAGGAATTACTATTTTGTATGATAAAATTAATTTAAATCAATACACTGACTATTATTTATTTGTTTTAAATTTATAATTAAATTTATAATTCAAAACATTATATCTTATTATGCCCATCTTGCCTAGAGGTGACAAGTATTCCTTGACTAATTACCACAATTCAAAATGGAAATTCAATTAGTAAGTGATATGGTTGCTAAGTGAGTCATAGTCTTTAAGTGAATCAAAGTCATTAAGGAGGTCTGGTTTTTCCCATTGACTTTGCTTGTCAGAAACTAGCTAGGGAAGTTGCAAATATGACCCCAGGACACTACAACCCTTTCTTTACAATGATTTCCCCCTTTGTAGTTTTCTCTCATGGCCAGTTATTGTTTGATTATGTACCACCAAGTCATTCTCGACTCTTAGTGACCACTCAGATTTTCTCCATGAAGATCTATCCCTATCCTGACCATTCAGGGGAAAAGGGGAAAATCATTGTAAAGGAAGCTTTGTATAGTAGTCCTTGACTTATGACCATTAATTTAGTGATCTTTCGAATACACAATGGCATTGAAAAGATTAATCCTCGCACTTATGATCTTTGCAGCATCCCCATTGTCATGTGTTCAAAATTTGGGTACTTGGAATGTATTTTACAATAGTTGCAGTGTCCTGGGGTAAACCTTCCTAGCTAGCTTCTGACAAGCAAAGCCAATGGAAAAGCCAGACTTTTCTATCACCACTGTAAAAAGGGAATATTAGGACAGGGATGGTAAGCATGCTGGTGCGCTTATGCACGCCCCTTCAAGACCTCTTAGGAATGGGGTAAGGTTGACAGTAGACAATCTAAGGTTAAAGTTTTGGGGGTTTGGGGAAGAAACCACAGAGTTATTTTAGAGTTACAGTTACACTGTAACTGACTCTATCTACTTTTCTACTGATCATTCTCTTGTCTTTCCTTCCATCTTTCCCAGCATTAGAGCCTTATCCAGGGGACGGGATTTTCAAATATTGTGTCCGTAGTAGGGTAACTTCAGCTTCATTATTTGTACTTTGACTGAGAACTTCCAGAGGCTTGTTCAATTATCCATTTTCTGTTTTCTTGGCTGTCTGTGGTATTATAATTAATGTGATAATCTAATTCATTCATGGGTGCCCACAATATTTGTTGCTTACAAAAACTAAAAAATCCACTATACAAAGAGTAAAAACAAAAACCCTCATCCCCCTGCAATAACAAGCCACTTTTCCTATGCTCTCTTGTACTAAGATATAGCAAGAACAATATAAAAAACTGGGAAGCTTTATAGTGCAAATGTTAATATTACAAAGCATAATGTTAAATTGTTTTATACATGCTTATACAGAATTTTCTTTTTCCTAATAGATATTTAAAGGTTTTGAAAAAATGAAAGATGTTCAGTATGTTTTTACAGAATTGACATCGGCAAAGTGTGGGATAAAATTAAACATCAGTGACAAGAAGAACAGTCAGTATCTCCTTTCAGGTATAGTATATTAAAGTCAATTGTTAAAGTCAGACAAAAATCAACATTTGAGCCTTATAGCCATCAGTGACATTTCTGTTAAAAATGTAAACATTTCTAGAAACTAATTACTCTCTCCCCCTCTCTTCCTCCCTCCCTCTCCCCCCCTCTCTCTTTCTGTGTATGTAGCATATAGAAGTGAACTATAAGAGCAAATGAGCATTACTCATGCCCATTACAAGATATGTGGACCTACCTCCTTGAATAAATTAAAATAAAACAATTTTTATTTCCCCTTTCCCTCAATAATTTAAAAATAAAGGAAGGGGGGAGAGAGAAAACTAGACAAGGTTTGTAGGTGTTGGTGACATATAAATTTAAATCATCATAATCTTTTCTGGACCTATAACAGGTTATATATTCTACTAGACAATTTGATTGATTTAGTGCCTGTGGATTATGTCTTCGGCAATTAGAGTGTCTGAGTCCCTCGTTTCAACATTTTCTTTACTTCAGGTGAAATTTCACATGATGGAAGAGTTTTTATTTATTTATGCAATTTTATTAAACCATGGAATAAACTTACCCGCTCTCAAAAGATAAATCTACGTAAGAAATATGAAATGGGCTGTGACTGTAAAGTAAGTATAACAATTAGATTAGAATATAATCTACTATTACTATATCAGTTGTGCAGCAATATATAAGTAATAAATATACCTATAATGTAATTATACGTATGTACGTACGTACGTATGTATATGTAAGGAATGTAAGTAGACTAAAGCAGATTTGTTAAAATGCATATGTCAGGTTTCAATGCTATCTCAAAATAAATGAACTTCCAAACTGCCACTCTTTAAGGAAATTTTCTCTTTTTTCGAGCACAGCAACCTGATCCTGACTCTTCGCGGTCAATACTGACCTTTGCTCCACAATCCCTCCCTTTCCGATCCCCAATTCTCTGCTTCTCATTGGCTATCTTCCAAGTCACTCTCCTGATTCCTTTTTCGGCAGTTCACAGGAATGTTTCCCCTCTCCTCATCTCCAAGGAGACCGAATCTTCAAAGGGATTTAGCAGGCAAAAGTTCAGGCTTCATCCTCCCTTTTCTATGTCAGTGCTGAGATGCTGACAGCATAAGTTTTAACCTACCTTGTCTAAATGGTACATCCAAATACTACAGCAATCTGTTTTGGGATGGTAGTCCTCCTAGCCATGTCATAATACCTAAAACTGTTTTCTATACCTATTTCACTGAGCTTTGGAACAATTTTCTCAACTGTGCCATATGTCCCTTTAGTAGTTATTTACTATTAGAAAATCAATGTAAGATGTTCCTGCAAACTTTGCTAACTGCAGAGGTCTAGCAAAAGTTATGCAAAAGGTTACTTTTCCTAAAAGTTAAGATTGGGAGAGCATTTTTTTGAAGGTACTACTTACAAAACTACCAGGAAAAGAAGTTCTAATGATAGAATAGGATAGTCTGAAGTCAGAACTTTTCAACCTCTAGACATTTTGCATACCACTTGTTATGTATCTAATTTTGGAGGGAAATTAGAGCGGGAAAAATCTCAATGCTCATTGGTTAAGACACTTGGAAAGTAGCTATATAAGGAGAGCTGTCGAGCTGCAAAGCTTCTGGATTCTCACTGTATATTAAAGAATTGTTGTTCACTTCGACCTGTCTCCTGTCTCCTCGCCCAATCTAATACTGGCGACAAGGATGGGATCGAAGTAAACAGGTTGCGCAAATAAGAGCTGACAACAGAATCTAGGGCATACTAGTACCAGTCGACCATGCAAAATGGGAAACCCCAATAGTCACCTCTCTCAAATCTGACAGGTCACTGCGCATCTGCGCCAACTATAAGTGTACCCTAAACAAAGCCCTCCAGCAAAGCGCCTCCCCTGTCCCCATTGTGCAGCACCTGCTACATTCTTTGTACCCCGGCAAGGTTTTCACTAAACTCGACTTTGCACATGTGTACCAGCAACTGCTGGTAGATGACGCTACCGTGGAAGCACAGACTATAGTAACATATAGAGGTGCCTTCAAGTGCACCAGACTACAATTTGGGATTAACATTTTCCCTGGGCTGTTTCAAAGTGTCATGGAATGCCTGCTGCAAGGACTGCCGGGGGTTGTACCCTATTTCGATGATGTCTTAGTTACTGCAGCAGATGAACAACAGCTGCAGGATTGCTTGAGGGGAGTGTTAACTATATTCAGGAACATGGGGCTACAAGTTAAAAGGAACAAATGCCAGTTTGCTGTACCCACAGTTGAGTTTCTAGGGTACAAGATAGATGGAACTGGTATCCACCCCACAGAGAACAAGGTCTGGGCTATTTGCAACGCACCTACCCCAATGACCCGGGTGGAACTGCAGCGTTCCTGGGACTTTTAAACTTTTATTCTATCTTTTTAAAGAACAAAGCCACAGTGGCCGAACCACTCCACAAACTATTTGTGAAAAAATCTCCATGGGTTTGGAGTAGGGTGGAAGCCGCGGCATTTGCAGCTGTCAAAAGACTTCTCTCAGCCGACAGCCTCCTAACCAACACAATGAACTGCTTCCCCTTGTCCTTGTCTGTGACGCCTCCCCCTTTGGCGTTGGGGCTGTTTTGAGTTATAGACTGCGAATGGACAAGAAGCCCCCATCGCCTATTTCTCCCATACCCTGTCCAGCGCTGAGAGAAATTACAGCCAGCTGGACAGGGAGGCCCTGGCAGTTGTCGCTGGAGTTAAAAAGTTTCATGAGTATGTGTTTGGAAGGATTTTTGAATTTCGTTAAAAAAAAAAAAGGATTTCGTTACTGATCACCGACCCCTACTAGAACTTTTGGCTGGGGACCACCCCACCCCGGCAGCCATGTCCCCCCATCTGACTAGATGGGCTATTTTTCTGGCTGCATACTCATATCAACTCATCCATCGTCTGCATCAGAGCCTTGGGCATGCCAATGCCCTCAGCAGATGCCCACTGCTGGATTTGCTGGAGGACCCAACTCCAGGCATCCCTGTTCTGCTTATTGACTCTATGGACTCTGGCCCTATCACTTCTGCTGAAGTTGCAAAGGCCTCTGCTAAAGACTCTGTGTTGCAAACTGTTATTGGCTGGGTGCATAGGGGATGGCCAAATGGCCCTGTTGGCAGGGAATTTAAACCGTTTGTCTGTAAACAGCATGAGTGGTCTAAGCAAGGGGGTTGCTTGCTATGGGGTGATCGGGTGGTGATTTCGCTGTGTCTAAAGGAGCATGTATTGGCCACATTGCATATTGGTGCACATTGCATCCTCACAGTTGGGAATTGGGAGGATGAAGGGATTGGCAAGGAACTATGTGTGATGGCCTAATATGGACGAATGCATTGCTAAATGGGTGGCAAGTGTAACCCCTGTCAAGAATCTCACCCCGCTCCCCAGACGTCTCAGTCTAAAGAGTGGAAAGGGCCCCGGGGACCATGGTCCCGCATTCATATTGACTTTGTTGGCCCATTCCATGGTCTAACTTTTCTGATTGTGGTGGATGCTTATTCAAAGTGGGTGGAGATAATCTAATGCACTCCACCACTGCGGAGGCTGTAATTAAAGCGCTCCAGAAACTATTCGCCACGCATGGGCTACCAGATACTCTGGTGTCAGATAATGGGCCTCAATTTACGGCTACTCAATTCGAGGGGTACCTAGCTGAGTTAGGGGTCCGTCATGCACTCACAGCACTTTTTCATCAGGCCAGTAATGGTCAAGCTGAAAGATTTGTTAGATCGGCCAAAGAGGCATTGGCCAGACTCAGACCGGGAGACTGGCAAGCCAGAATTGAAACTTTTCTAGCAGCCTAGCATGTTACACTGTGCATGGCAACGGGACGAAGTCCAGCAGAGCTCTTAATGGGCCAGAGACTCCGTTGCACCCTAGATAGACTACATCCCAATTACTCCCCTGCGGGATACATGGAAGCTGAACGTAAGACTAGAAGCTTCTCTATTGGGTCCTGGGTCTTCACGAGAAATTATGCGGATGGTCCCCTCTGGGTGGCTGCGCAGATCACTGACATTACCGGGCCCAGGTCATATATTGTAGAAATCAGTAATGGAAGGGTATGGCGCAGATATATTGAGCAGTTAAGGAAACATCTGGGCAAACAATGTTCGACGAGCCAGACTGCAAAATAGACAAACCAGTCCCTGACTCACCAATCATTCAACCAACAGCTAACTCAAACCCGAAGTGGCCGAAAGACTTACCTGATGACTTGGGTGTCCAGCGCCACCTCTTCGAGAAACCAGGCCCATCCAAAGAGTGCAATGCCAATAAAAATATCCAGGAGGTTCCATTGGCTGGGCTGGGAGAGACAAAGGGTCCCTCCGACCAGCCCAAATCCCTGCCTCAGACCGAATTGCGCAGGTCAACTAGAATCAGGGAACGCCCTAGTCACCTGCATGATTATATATGTAAATAGTTTGGTAAAATGCTTTCTGGGAGGGGAGGAGTGTTATGTATCTAATTTTGGAGGGAAATTAGAGTGGGAAAAATCTCAATGCCCATTGGTTAAGACACTTGGAAAGTAGCTATATAAGGAGAGCTGTCGAGCTGCAAAGCTGCTGGATTCTCACTGTATATTAAAGAGTTGTTGTTCACTTCGACCTGGCTCCTGGCTCCTCACTCGCCCGATCTAACACCGCTAGTTGTAAGTGAGGGGTCCTCGGTGCTCTCTGAGCTTGCTTGTTTTCTTGCAGATATTTCATTACTCTAACTAGGTAATATCATCAGTGCTAGTAAGAACTGCTGTTTGCTGTCAGTTCATATTCTGGTGTCTTGGTTGTCTGTGTGGGTGGGAGTGGTCTTAGAGATTCTTTTGTCAGGCTGTTTTCTGATGGCTCTTTGGCAGTTAGTGTATGATGGCATATACTAGTTATAAGTGTATAAAATTAATACCTTATAACTATCATGTTGAGAACTTATTGTTACTGTTAATGTTACCGCTTAGCTTTTCAAATGGATTTATTGGATCATGTGGTCTTTATTACATATTTCAAGATCCTGCGCATAATGTCTTCCATGATCACCAACTTAATTTTATGATCTAGATATACCTGCACTGAGATTTAATGAAGTATGTCCTCAACTGTGTATGCTTGAATTCAATCTCTCTTGAAACTTCCCTAATCAATGCAGAATGGATAAATAAACCTTTAACCTGTAACAATGGATATACTTAAATGATTACAAAAAGTGTAATTCAATTCAAGTAATATTGAAAGTGTAATTCAATTCAAATAATATATATTAAGGTGGCGAACACATATATTTTTATGCTGCACTCTTCTCCGGCCCTCCTGGGGCAGCTTGCCTCCCTGACAGCAGCTCCTCCTCCTTTTCTTTCTGGTTGCTCCAGCATCCTGGCCAGAAGCGGCAGTGTGAGAACCGCTGATGCCCCCAAACAGTGGCAGGAGCAGCAGGCAGGGAGGCCACCCGCCCAGCCAGCAAACCCTGCCCCACTGCCCCATGCGTCAGTGCTGCAGGCTGGAGGACTGGGGCCGCACAAGAAGCTCGCTCAGGTGGGAGGAAAGCCCCGGCCCGCCCATCCTGGCTGGCAGCTCTGCTCCCCTTGCTCTTCCGGGTTCCCGTGTGCCAGCCACTTGTTCTTCACACATGCGGGAGCGCCAGAAACTGGAAGACCAGGTGACTGGCATGCATATGTGCACTGGAAACCGGAAGATCATCTACCTGGTGCATGCATGTGCACCGAGCGGCTGCTCTTTCGGTTTCTGGTGCTCCCGTGCATGTGAAGACCAGCTGGGTGGTGCCCCGGAACCCGGAAGAGCAATAGGCAACGGCTCCACGTGCCCAGAGAGATGGCTATGCATGCCACTTCTGGCATGCGTGCCATAGGTTCGCCATCACAGCCTTATGCTACCAAATTATTTCTGTTTTTTTAAAAACAAATCTTTCACTAGACAACTGTACTTGTGGAGTTCATGGTGCTCTCTGAGCTTAGTTGGTTTTTTGCAGATTATTATCCAACTAGGAAGTCTCTTCAGGGTTCCCTCTGCTCTCTGTTTAAATGTAGTGACTTCCTCTATCAGTACTGGGAGAGTGATTTTTTTCTTGATAGTTCCTTGATTAGGCTGTTGTTCACTATCTGAGTACAACTGTACAACTGTATCATCAACATATCACTTCTTTTAATAGTAAGATAAGAAGGACTAGCAGCAAAATATCCATGCTGCATAATTCCAAGATGGTTTTCTGCACTTAATGTGCACATTGTAGATATCAAGGTGATGCATAACAGTCTTTTAGATGCACAAAAGTCATGTTGGTACAAAACTATAGTTTATATGTTCAACTAATTCAGAAAAGTAATTGAAATAATATCTTGTACTGATATAGATTTCTACATTGAAATAAGTCATTATGCATTGATGTTGGAATGTGTGTATTTATAATTCCCCAAAGTTCCATCCTTGTCTCATTTCAAGGCACATGTGGGTTTTGGAAACAATTTACAAATTGTCAGAATTTTTACACTGATAAATGATAAATAAGTGTTTATACATTATAAAATATGATTTCAGAGAAGAAAAATGGGAAACTCATATAATTTTCTGCACCTAGATTACTGCCTGCATTGAAAAAGGTTGTTACAGCACTGTTGCATCCCAAGAATGCCTATGGACAGATTGGCTGCTAGAGTCGACGGTCTATGGATATCAAGCAAATAATTCTGCCTGTCTCAAGTACCGTGATGGAGTTTGCAAGTGGCATAATAATCTGCCATAGTGAAATAGTTAGTATCCGAGAACCATAAATAATATAAATTTTGGGGGAAACATGAGAGGTTACGTGCTTAATGTTGCCTGCTTAATAGTCCTTTCCAATAATTGTCTCTTACTTAGAATCAAAAGCAAATTGTGCAGTGTAATTAAAACACAAAATACATAGAACTGGCATCCAGATTAATATAAAATGACATTCCCGGCAGTAGCTGCTTTCAACAGTTATTTTGAAACATCCCTGTTTTCTAAGAAAGAATGTTTTTTTTTAAAAAGTGAGATTTATTAAAATTGTAATTTCTACTCCTGTTAATACATTGCAAAATTTGAAATGTTTAAAATAATACTGTTTTCATCCAAAACACTACCTTTGAATGAATACTACCTTTGCTTATTTCTATAGTCATTTTGTTTTAAAAAGTATTCTAAGAGAAATAATTAAAAAATAAGATATAATAGGCAGTTGTAAAAAAAAAATAATAAAGATAAATTTTTACCCTTCAGAGATCATAGATGGAAATTTTTTGTTTAGTATATGTCATATGAAATACTGGATTTCATTTCTCTGTATTTTACTTTTTATGGCTCAATGTATCACGTCATGTCATTTAAAGATTTGCTTTTAACTATAACACCAACCATAACCAAACAGTTCAATCAATTGGGATATACTGTAAATTAAAACTGGCAATTCTGTAACTTAATAATTATGACATGGAGCTATTAGAAGGTATGATTACAATGTACAAACCATAGAAATACATACTTTTGTGAAAAATAGTAGTACTTTTATAGTTTGAGATGGTTACCAAGTCTTGCTACTTAGATAAAAATAAATAAATAAAGGAATGTGATGGAAGAAAACATGGGCCAAAAGTGGTTAAGTGATCATCAGTGCAGAATAGGCTAGGGTGTTTTTTTTCTCCTTTTTTCCCCAACTACAAAAATGTTGAAAATTTAGTTAATTCCTAGACAGCATATTTTGAAAAATTTCGAAACATTAGCACAGGAACGTGCTTTTTTGTTTTTTTTTTGTGATTCATTAATTGCATTCATAAACTTCCAGACAGATTAATATATATTAGAGACAGTTTAGAGGCAGCATGAATACATTAGGAATTGGCAATTATTTTCTGTTCATACCAAGCCTCATTGGGTTCCTTGTTAATACTTGAAAAAGCTGAAGATTTTTTGAATGCATAGGAATGATCTTGAAAGCAGAATTATCAGCAATTAAACCTTTAATTCATAAGCATCAGAGAAGAGCTGCAGCAGTAAATTGAATTTCTTTTCTTATTTCTTTTGTTAATTTTCAAAGCTTTGGTGAATAAATTGATTTCTTACAGTGAAGAGAGATGTTTCAAAGCTACCATGTAAAGTGGGAAATAAAGGGGATATATTTATTTAAAATAGTTTATAAGAATTAACTCCAGCATATCTGGATCATTTCAAAATCAAATGTAATCTTTTAACTTTTTTTAAAGGAAGGATGGGCATTTTTAAGCCTTTTCATTTGTGATAAATATCTCCAAGGTATACCATATAGTTAATGCTAGCTAATTACATATTGAAAATATGCATACAGTAGCAAATAGATAAAGACCAGATGCACAAACCTGCAATCTATGTAAGATAGCAATTAAAAAATACAAGGTATAATATTGACTATCAAAATCAGTGGGAAAACATTTGTTCATTTGTAAAGATAAGAAATCTAAATAGTATTAATAGTTCAATACTTCTCTAAACATGATTAAATTTGAAGTACCACTAGAACCTAAGAGAATGTTTCAAAAAGACAATATTGTGAAATTGATCTTAAAATAAATTTGGAATTTATTAAACTCTCTATCTTTGTACTGGCTTTTTGTTTCTTTTATACTATAAGAACAAAGTCTGCATTACTGCATGCAGTTATTATAGCAAAATATTTTTTCTGTTGCTCTGTATATGTATAGAAAATATCAATGAGCAACCTAAATAAAAAGGGGAAGACACCAAGAGCCACCCTTCTAACAGCACTATTATATTAAAATTGAGGGGTCAATCCTGAGCTACAAACATTTCCTTTATTAGTGCTAAAGTTTGAATTAAAAAGTGGTTGTTCAATGCAATCAGACACCAATTTTTAATGAACATCAGAACAAGACAATATATGCTGCTTCCAGACATTTCACATACCAGCTCATTTTCAAATTATATATTTTAAAATAACTTGAAGAAATGGCATGGTCTGAGTCTTATTTCATGTGCCATTAGTAATGGTTTCTAGCCAGAATTTGTGGCTAGATTGTTAACAATTTGTGTCCTAATTGTTAATGTTCAAAATGTACTCATAAAAGAATGTTAATCTTATGATACAATTTGTTTTCGATATAATCTTTTCCATTGTAATCTTTAATTTACGCACCACTGCAAGTAGAAATCATTGCTGAATGGCTAGGATTTAAGCCTGAATACACCTGTATCAAGTCTCTTTGTCACAAATATACAGAAGTTGGTAACTTCTAATTTGAATAATGAAATGTTAAAACATGAATATAATTTTACCTTAGTGCAATGTATGGACCACTCAAAATGATACAGAATAACAGCTAATTTATTTCCACCAATCCATAAGAAAAGAATGGATAGATGAGGCTGTGTATGTGATTTTTAGGACATAGGCTATTTTGCTGTTGACTAGAAATGACTAACTATAGCCTCATTGAGATGTCTTAAAAACACAACTGGTAGTTAGTATTTGTTCTAACACAACTTAAATTAAAGCTGCTTTAAAACTCAAAATCTATGTTTATATTTTTATTAGTAAACATCAGAACAAGCAGAGTAATTATTATTATTATTTTATATACCAAAGAGCCGTGGCACAGCTGGTAGAATGCAATATTGCAGGCTGACTCTGCTCACTGTCAGAAGTTTGATCCTGACCCGCTCAAGGCTGACTCAGACTTCCATCCTTCTGAGGTCAGTAAAATGAGGATCCAGATTGTTGGGGTCAATACGCTGACTCTGTAAATCACTTAGAGAGGGCCGTAAAGCACTAAGCGGTATATAAGTCTAAGTGCTATTGCTATTTAAAGCCCTGACCTTTTTATGTGCAAAACTGGGATCTTACATTGAATATCTCAACATTCATCTTTTCCCATAGCCATTTTCTATGTCATCAGTCATCTACTGCAATCAGAAATGGCATCCATTTCTTTTCTGTCATGTCCTCCAATTCTTCCTGCAACTTATCCTCTATGAACTTTAAATTCCTACTCTCATAATCCTTCAGAAGAGATTGATAATTTGTAGGGGAAGAAAGACTCCACTCTGTTGTGGATAAAACTATGCGTTTTCAGAGAAATGATTCTCCCACTTTACTCTCAAAAATGCAGTCATAAAAGAAATGTAGATATATTTTCTGTCCCATCGAGAAGATAAGAACCAGAATTGTCCCTATTATTGGTTGTGTTAATAGTAGTATTTTCAGGATATAATAATCCAATTAGGGCTGGACAAGACAATACAGAAATATATATATAAGCCTTAGTGCTAGTGCTACAGGAGCATCTAATTCCCAATCCTTGATCTGCTAGCATAGTTGCAGAGCTGCAGGCCAGGATGAAGGGACCAAAGAAGAAATCATGTCAGAGGATACCCATTATGGTGAGCAAATGAGATGGGGTCTAATACAACTCGGTGCAGCCAATTTGCCACAAGACAACTAGCCATGGGAAAAAAGTTAAGTAATATTGAAGAAATGGTGGAATAGAATCATTAAAGAAAGAATGCAAAAGGAGGGACAAAATGAAATGTGAAAGTATTTTTTAATTATTTTAAATATTTAAATTGAATTGTTGAATTGTCCTGTAGTGAACTGTCCCACAGGGAGTTGGCCATGGCAAGTTGTCCCGTAGCAAGTTGGTTGTGTCGGGTTGGCTGTACCAAGTTGTCCCATTCCATCTAGGTGACCTTGAAAAGCTAAACTGGACTGAATCCCAGGACTGTTTGAATCTTGATAGCAGACTACCAGGAAATCCCAGGACTATAAATTAGTTCTGATGGGTAAAAATATCCTGAAAGAAAACAATGGAAAACTAGTGTTCACATTGTTGGCAAGAACACAATACAGATGTGTCCATGCAGTTTCAAGGAGAGAATTTAATTTAATAATTACAGGCTTAACAGTCCTAAATTTTTAATTGCAAAGGGAAAAAAGTTGGGGCATGTAAATATCTATATGTCTGGGATGTGTTGGCTTGGCCCTCTTGTTGCTATGAGTAGGGTTCACTAAGAGCTCCCTCCCACAATCTCCTTCCAATCAGGTTCCATGCTTGGATATAGTCAGTATACTGTTATGTATCTATAACCTGGAATAAACAAGAGGGATTTTTTTTCCTTAGCATTTGGAGGTTGTAGAGTTCTGGGTAGTGAAGAACAGATGTAGGGTCTTACAAAGATTGTAGCAAGTAGCCATAGGTTTTAGGACCACCTGTATCTGAGAACTTTCTATCACTACAGCTGGATGGGATAGTGTTAAGTGGTACAAAGCTTGGGAGTTTTCTAGACCCTTAGTTCCTTGTTGAAAAGCAGGTGGCAGCTGTTGGCTAGGATGGTCTTTGCATCAACTGCACCCATTTATTAGATTGGGAGGCCCTATTCACAAACATTAATACTTTGGTTACCAACCAGTTAGATTAATGCAACACTCTCTACATATAGCAGGGTTGCCTTTGAAGACCACTCTGTAACTACAGCTGGTCCAGAATGCAGCACCATGAAAATGCTGATATGACTCTGCAACACCCCACTTTTGTGAGCTGCTCTGGTTCCAGTGGGCTTCTGGGTAGAATTCAAGTGCTGATTTACAGTTCTCACAGCACCAGGCTATTTGTGGGCATTAAACAATGTCCTCTAATGGCATCTAGGAGGCATGCTTCTCTCTTATATTATATTATGTATTTTTAATCTTTGTTGAATTGCTCTGATGCCATTTTTAATTTGGCATGCAACACTTAGCAGAGTTTCATGCTAAATGGGCAGTCATACAAACTGAATGAATTAATGAATGAAAATACATAAAGTCCTCCTATACTCCAGAAAAGTGCCTATGCAATAATTTTGGCCACCAGCCCCTCTTCTCCAGAGAAATAATCTCTGCCACTGAATTATTGAGGAACAGCTTAGTGGCTTCTCTTTCTCTACTTTAAAGAATGGAGAAAGTTAAAAAGCTTTCAAAATGAGACTGCTGATTTCAGTATGAGTTGACTTGGTAGGCAAGAAAGCTGGAGGAGTCTCCAACCTTCACTCCCAGTGTAGGTAGCCACACTCTGATCTTGCTATAGGTAAGTGTTAACTGCTTTGTGTAGTGGTTTAATAGTTACCTCTGTTATCACTTATCTTCCAAAGGCATCTCATCTGGCACATTAACTCTGATGTGATTAAAGTTCTCACACCTTGTGTTATTTTTCTGGCAATTGAAAAGTCAAAAAATGTAAAAGTTGAAATGATTCCAGTAATGCTATATTCTGTCGATATATGCTAGAATGCATGATAAAGGGATTTATTTCTACCAATCCTCTGATGAGATAAACAGAATCCAATTTACTTTTTTAAAGCAGAAATAAATTATACCATACTTTTTCTCTTGAAACATTCAAATGCACATCGTCAGATTTAGCAAAGTAGAATTATAAAGTTCCTTGATCGACTAAACAGAAAACCCATGACAGCATGAAAAGCAAATGTTCCAAACTGACCATAGTGTGTGTTTGTGTGTGTGTGTTTGTGTACATACACATATGTATTTCTTATAAACGAATGGTTTCTCCCTCTAACATGGGAGCCGATTCCATATAATAGACATCTACCAGAAAATTATAAACAATATCTTCCTGTCCAACCAGAAGGGTAGAATAAAAAGTTAAGGATTCCCACTTACTTTTATAATTTGCATACAGAAATAAGAACATTGACCTTACCTAGCAGTACAAAGAAAAAGAAAGAAATAACCTAATTCAAATTCTCATTGGAATATATGCACTTTTACAAAAATAACTGGCTTTCTAAAGCTTTGACTATCTCCACCCACTACCTTAGACTAGATTTGACAACTCAAATCTAGTCTAAAATACATTTTACTTTCATCATCATATATTATTCCAGGAACAATACAATCAATCAATATTTTGGATTTGGTTTGAAGAAATAGAAAGTAAGTCAACTGATACTTGCCTTTCAGTATTAAACTAGTATACTAAATATTATATTTAGTATACTAAATATTACATGATATATTTGAAAATGAAACAGAAATGGTGGTAAGAGAAAGACAAATGTTCTCAAAATTGTTTACAGAATTTTAAAGTTTTTCAGAATTTAATAATATAGCACAGAAACCTCTCATTAATAATATATACAAATCAAAATTTCATACAATTATGCAATTTACAAAAGAGAGAGAGCACAATTTGACTCTTAATCTGAGCAGCCTAAAATGAATGTATTTTAAAAAAAATCTCTCATTTCAATCTCTGAAAGTTTAAAAACACCAAGAATGTTTCCCCCATTGTTAGGGAGTCAAGTATTTTATATGAGTAAACATCTTTGTTTCATAAAACCAGTGACACTATAGCTAAAACAAGAGGATGATACACAGATAAAATGAACTCTTTCAGATGCAAAAGGAATAGAAATTTATGTTTATTGTTTGCTCTTACCATTTCCTTGTGATTTGGATAAAAGGTTTGCTCAATCAGAGGAAATTTCTCTGCTCCCAAGGATCTATAGATGGACACCAATTGGGCAAACTACAAAAAAACAAACATTAAATTCCAAAGACAGTTAATATAAAAATTATCTCAGCACTCCTCTGCAATCCTCTAATCATTATCTATCAAACCCTCAAGATCTAAATTCCAAAATGCCTTAGCGCTTGCCAGTTTATTATCTACAGAGAAAGGAAGTAAAAAGGTACACAAACAGCCTTACATTAACAAACCTATTTATAAATATTGTCTGGATTTTCCCCTATGGCAATACTTGAATACAGCTCATCTACAATGTATTGCTAAACAGGCATATTTAGAAATAAATAGAGGATTTCAGTGCCTCTCTGCTTGGTACTAAACAGTTTATATAAATTGCTTTTTCATAGAGCTATCACTAAGGTTGAGTGCCAACTCTCACGCCACATTTATAATGAGATCATTTATTCCATATTTCATTCTCTTTATTCAATCTTGTAACTGCAATAGACTTCTCAGTTACTACTAATAACTGAATGACATATCTATTGTCACAGTATTTCCTCCCAAGTTTTCATAGCTATAGCAAATGTATAGCACAGAGGTTGCAATAAGTTCTAATTAAACATTTATGGTCAAATGAGACAAAGCATCATTTAAGCATGAAATGCTTTTAAAAGGTAAATTGCAAGCACGGGGTGTGGGAAGAGCAACAGACCATCTCAGGCTAAAAGAGGCTAAAAGAACAATATGAGGTTTTTTTTTTCTATCTAAAAGCACATCTGAAAGAGCAATTTTCCTACTCATGATTGGGCATTTGATTTTCCTGGTCTTTGTCTCAGCCTATTACCTAGTTTGTCAGATTAGTAAAGAGCTGGGGAGATTTAACTCTTTGCAGCATCTGGTATTTGCATTTGGAAAGAACTAATTATTTCCAGTATCTTTGTTCCATTGTGAACCATCAGATTATTGAAGCAAATTTGTGAATTATTTTTGCAATGTTAATGAAAATAAGTTAATTTCTTTATTGACAATCTCATGTACTCTTTTCTCCAAAAAGAAGGGAGAAAGAGAGAGTGAAACAATTTTTATTTATCTTGCTTCCTTTTCTACTTTTCTTCTTTAACTTTGTAAACAATTGTTTAATATAAATTAAATAACAGCCTCATGGGATGAACAAGAGAAAACTCCAGGTATAATTGCCAGACTGCCTGACTGTATTAACATTTTGATACGTTTTAATAATCTCTCTCTTGTCATTGAAAAGTAAATAAACATAGGCCATAGAAGCCACAATGACAGATTAGCACTCATTGCCACATTCTGTTCATATAAATAAAGACAAGGTTTTGTCCCAAAGGAAGAGATAAAACTAAGGGCATCTCAATAACATATTTTTCATGATGCAGCAGGAAAAAAATTATAACCTCACATTAACTTTCTACATGCAGAAGTGATTTTATTTGTATTGCAACATACAAACAGAGACTACAAGGAAAAGCAATGGAGAGATGAGTCACAGTTACTGAACATAAAGTTTTTCATACAGATTCTCATATTTGTGTTTATAATATTATCATCCAGAATGATTAAAAAATTGAAACATGGGAGGTGCATTCTAGCTAGGCAGTAGTACCATTTTTAAGGTATTATTGTTCAGCTCCCTTACCCATTGTTTATTATTTCATCTTGTTCTCTGAACAGGCACTTTCTATTAATAATAGCTACTTCACTAACTTTGTACAAGACTGATTACAGTTCTTTTATCTGCAAAATTTTGAGAACCTTAGTAAAAAGAAGCTGCAAGAAAATGAGGCAAAGATTATGAATATTAAATGTTAAGATATTTAGCATTAAATATTCATAGTAATTAAAAAGCATCAAGGAATGTATTTATATTATGTAAGGCTTTGAGATGCAATCCAAATGTAAGTGTTTTAATGAACTTTTGCATGTGCACAGGGGCAAACAATGGTACTCATTTTCCTTTCCTCCTCCCCAATTCGACATTTAAATGTGTTATTCTTCAATTATACAATGAAATATATGATTATTGAATTAGGATTTGTTACTTACTACCCAGGGCTTGTCACAGAAGTTGTAGATTGACTCTAGAGAGTTAACACTTGGGATGCTTGCATAATGCATTCCAATAATTAAGTTACGAAAATCTTCATTTTCGGCCATGCTGAATGAGTGTTGCCGGACAAGAACAAAGTCGGGTTTGAATGACCTAAAGAGAATTGAGTTTAACAGCAAGCAAACAAATATATTAGAAACCTACTAGAACTATGGAAGCTACTGAATTAGAACCGGCTGATTAAGATTACATGTAGAGGAAAAAGCGTTATACTGAAAACTGCTTGTTTGTGTGTATGCATCTTCAAGTCAGCCTTAGATGAGTCCTTATATTTTTCTAGACAAGAGTTTAGAAATGGTTTGCCTTCATCTAGTTTCATAATTCAAAGTGGGACAGATCTATGTATGAGAGATATATCCAATATTGTACAAATATCAGATATGGTTGCTAAGGGTAGTACTGTAGTTGTCATAATAGTGTGATATGGAAGCAGTGGTGAAATCCAGCCGGATCCATCCAGCTCACACAATCCAATAGGGCTGGCGGCGGGAGGTTCCGCCCACCTGCCTGGACATCATCACATCCTGTTTTTGACCCTCTGCACATACGCAGAAGGCTCTGTGCATGCGTGGACGAGGCGTCCACGCTCACATTTGCGATCCAGTAGCGAAGGCAAGTACATTTTACCCCTGTATGGAAGCCATTGTATAGGTACAACTCTGGTCTGGAAGGGAATAGAAATGTTAATAGCAAAAGGTATTCTTAACATGTTTAAGATGTTGTAAAGATATAACTCTTTTTCCAGGAATAAATTAAAAATGGATTGGCAAGTTTGGAAATCTTTGAGGGAGCTCTCCCTCTAAGATTTTAGTTAAGAGTCATAGATTGAAAAAAAAGTGACAATGCTGGAACCAAGGACAGAGTTGTCATCGTGACCAGAATTATATTCCAAAAGGGAAGTAGAGATTTGTGGTTCTAGAATAATGCCCAAATAGAGAGAACTCTTAGAATTTCTCTTATGTTAATACTGTCCTTCTATATGTTTGCATTTTGCTGAGGTCATAATTTTTCATCAGAACAATGAAAAATTCCTCTCAAAGAAATGAAAAAAGACTAGGAGAAAGTAAACAATTATTTAACTTCATTTGTAGTTATTGGTTGTGTTGGTGATGATGGAGATTGGTAAAGAAAGGAATTTCACTAACTAGCAGTCATGAAAAAATCTTGGATATTGGAAACTGGTTGAAAAAAAGAAATTCAGGCAATTTTTTTGGAAGGCTACCATTTTATAGGTGGTTAGAGCGTGAGGCTCCTGTTATCCAAGTCAGAATGTTTCGATATACTAGTCTATACAGACACATATCCATCCTTCTGATGGAACAAGACCAAAACCAGCAACTGATGAATTTTATCCTGAGCTAAGGGTAAAATGAAAATGAAGATGCCATGATAAAGAGTGATGTTAAAGTCATAATTTAATCTGTTTGTTGTAAAGCTTATTCTCTTCCCTAATTTTCTCTCCTAGGACCAAAAAAATATTAACACTGAATTTGTTGCCATCTGTGAGATCTGGAAAAAATTTAATACTAGATACTAATTTAGAACTGCTTTATGTTTCAATCCTTCTGCTTTATCACTCCTTGTTTCACATATAACATCTACTTCTATTCAAATAGGCCTTCAATGACCTATTAGTGCTCACCAAAGAGAAAACCAATAACTCTTTAACTGTTTCATTCATAGTCTCTCTAGAGTAATTATACACATTCTAAGATTTTGCAAATTTGTTGCCAGGAATATTGAAAGATGTTTTTTCTATTCTTTAAATTATATTTGCACATCTTAAACCGAGGAAGAGAAATTTAGCAACAAAATAGCATAGTTTTCTTGAAAAAGACATGGGCAACCCTTGTTAACCTGATTGCTAGATTGGTTTTGTGCCATCAAGCTGCGCCAGTTCTTGATGATCATATACTGCCCAGTAGATTAATCTGTTAGCCTAAACCTCACATGAATTAGAACAAAGTGAAATGCTATTTGGATATTTTATCTTAGATATTGAATGGTTTTGGCTGTTTGCTACTTATGGATTTATCAAGAAGACAAATAATCCATTGATCTTGGCTGTAAAACGTGGATGAACCGTGAACAGATTCTATTTCTAATAAAAGATGTTATTCATGATTATATTTTGTATTTATTTATGTTAACCTTAATTCTGAAAGTCAAAAAAGTAAAATAACTTACTTGACAACTTTAGTGCCATTTCGAAAAGCTTGCACATTTACAGAATAATTCTCATCAGCATGAGCTATCAAACTGACCTCTGAAAATTGTGCCTGAAAGATTAAAAAAAAAACATAAACCAACTACTTTTAAGCTGCTAGTCCACATGTAACTTCTCTGGACATATGAAATGTGAACAAACTATTAGTATCTAGCAAAGTGTGCTTGAAAATATTTTGAGTGTTTTCTTACAGAAGAAGTTACATATTTAGAGAACAGAATAATGTTGCAACTGTTTTTTTCATATGAAAAGTAGAAGCAATGGAAATATCTTCAATAAGTAATAAAGATGTTTGGGATGTTGCCAAGTATGAAAAAAATTTTTTTACACATGTTTATATTACGAAAAAAGTTGTCATAAAATGTATTGTAAAATTGTTATCATCATTAACTTTAAAAAAAATTAAATCTCTTGGTAGATCTGTCCATACATTCATGATCAAGTTGTGGATGAGAGCAGATTTGCTACAGGAGAACTGCCATTCAAAAGGAGCAATTAGAGCCTGAAATCCCCCAAAGCAGTTGGCCCCATCCTTCCACCAGCTGTCTATAATGATCCCCTTTGACGTCACTTGTCGCATGCTGGCAAAGGTACACCCTGAAGCTATCCTTTCCTTTGCCCATTTTTCACCCTGCAACTACCTTGTTTCAACCCTTTTGTTCCAGGAAGAACAATTCTGCAGCCAAACTCCAACTCTCACCCAAACATGAATGAATGAATGAATGAATGAATGAATGAATGAATGAATGTCGGTCGTTCATTCATTCATTCATTCATTCATTCATTCATTCATTCATTCATTCTGGATACTGCATAAGTCTAATGAACTTCCAGTCCATATTTCCCTAATTTCCGCAGGGCCAAACAATCTTTAGACAACATTTATAGCTCTGTTCTCTTTAACTACCTTCCAAAGTTCATCCACACTCCTCATAATTTCTGTCCCTTTTAAAAGAGGCACTCTTAAAGAAACATTTTTTACATTCATCTATCTTCATTTCCACCTATTCCTGGTAGAAGATTCCATGCATGATTCAACTCACTCCACAACAGCTAATTCTAGTCTTGAGTCTGTTTACATAGAGCGAATACCAATAATGGAAACTATCTTCTTGCTGCCTCTTTCTGTAGCCACCAGCCTAGAAACAACTTCCAAAGACATGCCTGGCCATAGCAGTTACAGATGTCAGGAACACCAAGGCTTTTTCCTGGCAGTGTTTACTGATGGATTCATATACGGTAGTTCCAGTTGTTCTTTTTGTTGATCCTACATTTAGAGCTTTCCACATTCACTGTTTCCCCAGCAATCTGCTAGTCTTGTGAGCATTCACCCAGCATGACAGTCCCTGATCTTCAGCTTCAGCTCTTCTCTCCATGCATCTTCTATTCTTCCTATCTTCTATTTCTCCTTCACACCTCTTAAACCATCTGTTCCATTCACTTTCTCTTGCAAATCCAACATTAATTAAAAACTAAAAGCAATATACCATGTCGTTACAATTATCTTCATTTTTTTTGCAAGCAAATGTGATTATTATATTATATCCCTAAGTAAATGTAATGTAGTTTTTACTCATTAGGCATATTCTTTTAATTAGAATATTTAATTAGAATTAATCTGTGCAACAAAAATAATCAAATAAAAAAGGTAATTATAGGCACAATAAAAAAAATATTATGTTGCTCTTCCATTATTAGGGAGGGGTTGACTACAATTTTATCTCCTGCGTTAAAAGCTGTTAGATGTTGGGACAGAAATATGATTTTGATCCTTTTTACATGAAAAACAAATTGTGGAAGTAAAGGAAGAGCAAAATTTTAAAAAGAATTAAAACATTTATCTTTCTTTCTCTTCTCCTACAAGTAAATCTATCTGAACAAATTATATCAAAACAAGGAAGGAACACACTTCCTTTTGGTCTCATAGGAAGAGTGATTAGAAATGATAAAAACTCACTGGCCAACTAATCATGTTCATTCCTAAGATCCATTCTATCACTTACTCCCCATCAGTTTTGTCCATATGTAGGCTACAATGAAATCATGTTTGACAATAACATTTTTCATGCAAAGTTAAAAAAAAATCCCATCAAGTTTATGAATATCCTCTGAATCATCTACAGTACAAATGACAGTAAGGCATATGAATTTATTAAAAGTTTCACTGCCTTAATAAATACCAATACCTTTAATAGAAGAATGTAACTTTGCATTTAGAAGTGAACAGTAAGCAGGCTTAAAGCTGTTGTTTAAAACAATTATGTTAAAGAAAATCCTTGCCAAGTGTTTTTAAAAACATTTTATTACTGCCTCAGTAACTTCAAAAAATTCATATTTCACCGTATTATATAATTTCATTATTTACACTGGGTCAAAAATAATTTTATACGATGCCAACTTATTCCATTCTTAATGCTCTGAAATAATATTTAATGCTAAGAAAAATTATATGACTAATATGACAGTAATCTTTTTTGACTACCTGCTCAACTTTGATGTCATATTCTCCATGGACTTTTTTCCCACGAAAACATTTGGTCCTGAAATAGAAGAATTCTCATTAAAATAAGTTGTAAGTAAATGAGCAAAATCACATTGATATTTTAAAAACTGTCTTTTAGCAATTTATTTAATGCACGTAGTTCTTGACTTACTACCATATTGGAGCCCAGAATTTTCATCATTAATTCATGATGGTCATAAAGCAAAGCGCCCATGGGACTGCTCAGATTTTATAACTTTTTTTGTGGCAGTGATTAAGTGAATCATTCATTATCAGCACTTTTTGCCAAAAATAGGCCAGTAACCAGGAAAAAACATTGTTATGTGACTGTAGAATGCTGCAAACAACCATAAAAATGAGCCAGTTGCCAAGCATTGAAAATATTATTGGAACTGCGGAATCAAGTTGTAACTAGCTTTTGGAACTTTGAATAGTCAGTAAGCAACCAACAAGTGATGACTTCCTTTACATATTTAATTGAATTATTGAATTTATTGAATGAGTTTAACCTACCGGTATTTCTATCCATCTGTCTATTGTGAAAATTTGACTGTTAGTATTATTACGAATCTATTATACTTTGAATTATGGACTTATAATGAAACAATCGAGCCCAAAGGCTAGTATATTTGAGTTATCAAATTTCCTTTTCCAGAAGCCCTTTGCACTGTGGTTCTGTCTGCTGCCGTGGCATAGCATATTGCTTCCTACTCTTATTTGTACAGGAATATCTATAATATAAATATGAGGCAGCCCTTACAAAAACATTCTTTCACTTGGAGAGACAGGAAGAAATGGAGAAAGTCAAAACTGCCCTGCCTTGAGACTTTCCTGTGTTTAAGAGGGGTGGAAGGAGAAACTCTATTCTTATAGCCTATATTAATAAAGTAGATGTTCTACTGTTTCCTGGCCCAGCCTACCTCAAAGGGCTGACACTATCTTTTAGAGGAAATCTAATTTGATGCCCTTTGATGATTCAAAATTTAAATGCAAAAAGTAACATAATTTCAAAAGTGCAACCTTATATCTATGTAGCAATAGCAATAGCACTTAGACTTATATACCACTTCACAGTGCTTTACAGCCCTTTCTAAGTGGTTTACAGAGTCAGCATATTGCCCCCAAAATCTGGATCCTCATTTTACTGACCTTGGAAGGATAAAAGGCTGAATCAACCTTGAGCCTGGTGAGATTCAAACTGCTGAACTGCTGGTAGCTGGCAGTCAGCAGAAGTAGCCTGCAGCACTGCACTCTAACCACTGCACTACCATGGCTCTCATATGTAACACATATACATTTGATTAATGATCATGCTTCCCCTCTTTCATTGGGAAACAGATCAATTCCATCAGAGATAACAAAATCAAACTTTATTTTAAAAAGGAGAACCAATGTAAGCATATTATTTAACTTTACTTTTTTTAAAAAAAGATATAGTTATTACCACACTGGGAAAGAAAGAAAAAACAATCTAATGCACTTTTATTTAGTCTCATTTCATAGACATCATCCATTGTTCTGTTCTAGTATTTTTTAAAGAATAAATTGTATGGCAGATTGAAGTATCTGACTTTCTGGCTGTATGATGATCTTTCCCTCATAGGGATATGAACAGGGGTGGGCTTCAAAAATTTTAGCAAGGGGGTGGTGGGTGTGGCCATGGTGGGCATGGCCTAGTTGGCCTCCTGCACCATGGTGTGTGGGGGGGTGTTTTTGCACTCCCCGGGCTCCTGAGGCTTTTGTTGAGCCTCCGGGAGGGCAAAAATGGCCTCTCCAGGCTCTGGAGGTATCCTCTTCGAGCCTCTGCACATGCCCTGCTCTTACCTGCATCTAAAACGGGCCGCATGGGGACTCCTGGGAGGGGTGGGGTGGAATGGGAGGAGCCAACCAGGAGTTGGATTTAGGGGTTCTCTGAACTGCACAGAATCTTAGCTAGAGGTTCTCCTGAACCCCTGCAAACTCCCATGAGCCCACCCCTGGATATGAATTCCATTTTTGGCCAGCAGCATGCAGCATTATAAAAATCTGAGTAATATGCATAGTTACAAAGCACTATATTCAATTAGGATTAAAAAATATTCTTAGAGTAATATTATTTCTGATTGATTGAATTAATCAACTAATCTCTGGCATCTTGTTTCACATATTCATTTTTAACTTAAATATTAATACAGAAAACCAAATTATTTCATTTGGGTTTTAACTAACAAAATGGAATCCCAATGCTAATTATACCCAGATTAATTAAACGCTAAAATGGAAAAATATATTTTTCATCTTTTAGGATCAAAAATCATTCTTGGTATTGTGTTAACGCATTCCCCTCAATTTCTAGTTTAGAAATTTAGACAACTAAAATGTTACTAACTTTTGAAATGTTTTGGCGGAAGATATTTAAGATTTATTTAGGAATATTTAATTACAAATCTCAAATACGGTTTAAGGGTCTCATTTACTGAGATTACAAAATTAAGTGCCATATTCATTGTACAGTTCTTAATTATTCCCAGCATTCTGTCTTGGGTAATTTGTAGCTATATTAAAATATATTCATTTAATATATTGAACAGAAAATGAAGAAGATGGAATATTAAACATATAAAATAGGAAAATGTTATTTACCATTAGTATGCAAGATAAATCAATAATGGTAAAAGCATATTATCTTCCAATAACAGTAACTACTAATTAATTTTAAATGTTTTAACAGAATGAAGGACTTCTGGTAGAATAAATACTGATTTATAGGTAGCCTAACCTTATTTCATAAATAAGATAGAAATGCCCTTTTCCCAGTAAGTCATAACATCACTACATTCAATAAAGGAGCAAAGATTATATATCACATCATATCACATCACATCATCCTTCTATTTATCTATCCTATCATCTTCCTAACTACTTATTCAGAGTTAAATACCAAATAGCAATGTTTCTTTTCAATGAAGTGTTCAGAAGTATATAACCAAATAATATCATATATAATTAAATATAACAATATAATAAAATATTATAATATATATAAAATGAATATAATAAAAAACAAGTATGTAACCAAACTAATGTCAAGTGCAAGAAGTCAGAAACCAGGATACAGTTCAAAAGTACAGTAAATTTATTTAATGCTCTGAACTACTAATAGTTAAGGCAAATTGGTGCCAGATAAGTCAATGGATTTCAATTGGGTGGGGGGGTAGGCTGGATTTCTGCCTGTTATTGGAGCACAGACTCCAAACTGATGATGCATTTGACCCTGCCATTAGGTTCAACCTGGTCATAACTTATAGAACAGTTTATAATATGCATAGTTAAATACTTCCAAATCCTGTTTTGGCGGAAGATATTTAAGATTTATTTAAGAATATTTAATTACAAATCTCAAATATGTTTAAAGGTCACATTAATTTTAATGAAGGGATTCCTTGGAGCAATGGGAATTTGAAAATAGCTAGGCTGTTTTAATGAATAACAGAAAGAACTGTGTTCAAAGTCTCAAGCATTTCTTTTGAACAATTTTCAAAGCATGCAAAGCAATAATCTACTGAAAACATGAAATATATCAGAACATTTCTATGACATGGCTAGATTTCTGATGTTTAGCTTGTATTTCAGAAACAGATATACTATAGATAGACACAGATACACTATATATGTGTGCAAATATCTATTTTAATATCTATTTTAAAACTCATTGACATTTGTCATTCTTCTGTACAAACTAAGTAAAACTTGTAAAGAAGAAACTGCACAAAATTTACTTGTAGTGCTTTCTTCAAGCTTGCAGCTGCAGGAAAGAAAACCATAAATGGAATTATGACAATTTTTCAACAAGAATATATTTTACTAGAGTGCATTTATTTCCTACAAATAACTGGACTCCCTTATTATTACTATTGAAATAAATACGATGAAATAAAGGGAGACTAGTATAGATCTATTTCAAGCTTTTTAGCTTTCATCAGCTAGCCATACCTTTACTCTGGTATATATTTCTGCCAGAGAACTTATTGCAATAGTAATAATGATTTATAATAATAATAATATGATTTCTTGTGTGACAATCTAAAGACAATGTTATGACATAATAAAGTGTAATATGATCTTATAAGGAACACCTGCCACCTGCTTTGATTTTTGGTAATTTGCCAGTACTACAATATTTTATTAATGAATTACAACAAAAGACTTGTTAAACTTAATATTGAAAGTAAGCCTCTTGTGTAAGAAACCATATTTAAAAGTGATTATAATAACTAATCATTTCACATTGAACAAATGGATCACTAAATAACTAAAGTATTATGGAGCCCAAGCTACTGTTATTCCAAATCTTTTCTGAATTGCTCCCTTCAGAGAAAGTATAAACCCTACAAGGAAATATATTTTTAAATATTTTCTGTTCACTAAATATTACTCATCAAATTATCAGTGATAATTCTTCTTTTCTTAGAATATCACACTATTCTTCTGTACCTATTATATAGGTTCCAAGATACCACAATTTCTTGTTGTTTTCTGCTTTTTTTCAAGCAGATTCAAAGTTGAATTTGTTATTATTGTATCTTTTCAATGAATCTGAAAAGTTCTAAAAGAAAGAATATATAAAAGTGGTGATGGTTTAAATAAGATAGAAACATTATCCCTACTCTATTAGAATTTTTTTAAAAATAGAATTCATACTTTGTTAAGAATTAAGATATATGTTTCTGTAGTGTACTGGTTAGTAAATATTATAAAGCTTTTCTTCTTGCTTGGGATATGTAAATTCAGAAGAAAGCTATTTTTTTTTGTTAGAGTTGTTCTTATGGCATTTGTAGAGCACAACCTGAAATGCTGAGATGGTTTTTGCTGCCCTCTTGTGTAAAAAGAAATGGATACCAAGCCATTTTTGCTATTACGTATAATAAATGATTAGTAGTTGTGCTCTGAGAATTCAGACATGAGATTTTATTACCTATTTCTGGATATACTAGCTAGGATATACTGAATTTTTTTTACATTCAAAATCTGTGCTTTATTATTGAGACAATCATCCTT